GCCTAGTGACGAAGCAATGCACTGTACACACCAGTGAGGTCTTTACACATCATGGGCTGCCATTTTTTATTATAGAAATACTAGCACAATACATAATATTATCATATCATACACTAACAGTGAGAATTGCACGTGTGTGATGTATGGAGGCCAGAGTGCAAAGTACACCACAGTTCTAATTAAACGACACGGTTCAATATTACTTAACCCAATAAATTTAGGGGAGGGTCACAAGGGATCGCGATGGCTGGTAAAGAGACAGTAGTGGAATTGGAAAAGTGCCCGATTCGATACGACGGCTACGTCTCGTCTGCTGCTGGCAAGATCTTGTCCTTGGTTTGGTACTGGTGGAGCGCCGTGGCCGTCTCGAAATCCTGGGGCAGGGCTGACTTGCGACGAATTAATAGAGATGCTTTGGGATTTCCCATTTCCTGAAAAGAGGAGGGAGAGCGAGAAAGTGAAATGTTGGTCTCAGAATAATGAAACTTAGGTCGGGAAGAGGGTAGTGGAACCTCTTACGAACAGGCTGGGATACAAGTGTTCTTGACTTTATCAGAGGTTTTAATACTACATACACGACAGTATATATTAGCATAGGATTGACACAGGTGTCCTTTATTCGGAGGGTCCTTTTCCACAATAGAGAGAAAGTCATTTTTATTTTAGCTCTTCACCTCGTCAACCTGCACGTTGAGCTCCACCTGCTCTCCCTCCTCCACGTTATGAATCACACCCTCTCCCCCTCCCTCCGTTGTCACCGTCGTCCCCTCTGCCCCGCCCCCCTCTCCCACGGGGGAGGAGGAGGCACCACTCTCACTAGTCCCCACCTCCATCTGCCTCTCGGGCTCCGCCCCCTCGGGCACACCAGGCCCCACCCCCTCGGGGATGCTGGGCCCCACCTCCTGGGGTTCCCGCGGGGGAAGGTTCAGTCTCTCGGGGACCGTCTCCATGGGTTCGATACGAGGGAAGACCATCGGTGCCGTGATGACCTCGGGCCGTGCCAGCTTGTGGTAGTGAGGGCTCTGGATTGCAAGCTTCTCAACTTGACTCCATGCTTCCTCTCTCTCCGCAATATGGGCCTCTTGTCTACAACAATAGTGGACGACGGAATAGAGTCAATCCAAATTTCAAGAGTATTTTTCGCAAACAACCCCAAATGTTTTTGGATGGTAATTTTGCAAAATCCAAAAAAGCATTTTCGCAAATAAAACTCCGTTTGCGAAAACTTTTTGGCAAAGGTTTTGACAATGGGCTCAGAAAAGTATATACGCGGCATTACTCTATAGTCACAAACATGCATGTGTCCTATCAAAGGTTTGGTAGTAAAGATGCAGGATGAGGTGCGGTGTGTGCTCACTGTTTCAGCTGCTCCTCATATTTCGCGTTGCAGATTTCAAACATCTTCTGATTCATGTCCATGAATGTCTTAATGGCATTGTAGATCAGTCCGTGGATAGTCCTACGGAGGGAGCGAGAGGCAACGAATGAAGAGAGAGAGAGAGAGAGAGAGGGAGAGAGAGTGACTAACTTGTTCCAGTGTGCCTTGGAGTGGCGGAAGAGAGGAGGGAGGATGATGGGGAAGAGAGTCTGACAGTTGTCGCTGACCAGACTCATGACATAGTCGTTGCTCCAGTAATACAGAGCTCTCTCCGCAACCTTTGGACACAAGAGTTACACACACACACACACACACACACCAGAGGGAGAGAGCTAAAAACTAGGACTGGGATTATCTCCTGTTGCCTATGATTGGGGGTGTGGGTGTGTCAGATACTATCTAGCAATTGATGTTGATATCATTAGAAAACCTTCAACATCAAACATACATCATCCACACACACATTCCCCACTACCAAAACTGCAGAACAACAAAGTATACTCCGAATAAAGGGGAAAACCCTCTCAATAAAATACACACTTTGAGGTTCCCAAACGTCCGCTTTTCTATTATTCTATTATTCTAGTACTTTTTAACCCCCAAAGATAGACACACACACACACACACACACACCTGAAAATGAGGGCTGGAGATGCAGCGTGCAATCTGCCGAAACAGCGACTGCTGAACCTTCACGAACTCCACCGGCTCCATCACGTCTAGTATCTCCTCCAACTCGTTCAGAAACATCACCTCTTTAGGACTGTGGACCTTGGGCCAGTACTTCAGGAGACCCATCACCACCTGTGTGACGTGGGGTATGGGGGTATGGGAGTATGGAAGTATCGCGGAATGAGTATGACAGTACAGTGTACCTACGTACGTGGTATTGGGTATGAATGTATCCGTTTATGACATTTGTGAATTGCAAGTGTGTACTTATCACAAGGACATGCTGTGAGTGGTATGGGTGTATTGATGTATGGGAGTATGGGTGTATGGGAGTATGGGAATGAGCTCACTGATTCCGTGAGGCTGGGGTCTTTCTCCAGGAACTGGACCACACAGTAGGCCAGTTGAGGATGATAGCAGCTCAATGACCGCACCTACATATGTACACATATGACACAACATGCACACACATACACACACAGTGCTTGCTACATGCCATAGCTATAAAGTACAAAATTTCAAGCAAAAATGGGCGGGGTCAGTATTCCACCAAAAAATCATGAAAATTTATAGTCTTGGGAAGTTTGCCCTATAGTTTACAGAACTTTAAAAATTTTACAAGGCACTAGGATATGTCACACTAATTTTATGAAGACATAGTAGATAGAGGATCATAGAGGTGAACCTTGTGCAGAGGTATGAGGACTCGTTGTAAGAACTGTTTGTGCTCGTCTTTCAGTGGAAGAGCAAAGCCATTGATTATACTGCAGACGAGAGGGGCGGGGAGTAAGGGTGGGGAGGGGAGAGGAAGTGAGGGATTGAAGGAGGGATGGAAGGAGGGGGAGATAGCGAAACAACAGTGAAATTGTCATGGCAAACGGAACACGAGAGTTACAACATGCATGTGTACATTACACACGGAATACGTATCCCAAAAATGACGTTAGTGTTGATGTAATCTACACACAAAGTTCCCTAGGGGCCAGTTATATTCCCTGTAAGGTCTGGGGCTATTATAGCAGGGCATAGATGTGAATTCCTGGGAGTAAATAAGACCTTCCTTGTGTAACCCCCAAAAGGAATTCTACAAACAATCAGATACGCCCGTGCAATTGCAACCAACGATTTTTCTTCATTTAGCTCAGATGTTTCGCCTCACCTCCCTAAAATTTCTAGCAGTTCGGCCACTCCGTTGTGCTTCTCCGTCTCATATATGAACCTATAAATAGATCAGTGCATTTTACTGGCAGAAAGAAATTTCGCACTCGCTCACCGGTAGAAGATGTTGCTGATCTGTTTTCGGATGTGTGCCCTGAGACCCAGGAACTTGCCGTAGATCCTGTGTAGTGTGGTCTTGAGCATGTCCCTCTCTCTCGGGTCCTCGCTGTCAAATAGACTCAGCAACTGTGGGGGGGTCGGAGAAGAGGTAGGGAGAGAGGGGAGAGGGGAGAGGGGAGAGGAAGGGAGAGAGGGGAGAGAGGGAGAGAGGGGAGTTAGGGAGAGAGGGGAGAGGGGAGGAAGGGACAGAGGAAGGAGAGAAAGAAGGAGAAATGGGAGAATGAAGAAGAGGGAGGAGATATGCAGTAGGGGTGTTTGTTTGTGTTGGCTTAGCCAAGTATATATATACAGAACTAAAGAAGTTGATTTTCAAGTCATGTCTAACTGAGCCACTGACAGCCTGACAGTAATCCACTTAGAGAGAGAACATGCCTCGAGTGTTCACATGGCTCATGTGCATAGTAAGAGAGGGACACGTGGTTTAACAAGAAAAACGACTGATAGGATAAAGAAAGAGGGCAACTAAAAGCACCTGAAGAGAAAGAGAAAAAGAGAAATAAATGAAAAGTCATGTGTTACCAATTCTTGCAGAAAGAGAAGAAAGAAATGGGAACAGAAAGAGGGTAAAGTGCCCGACGAGAGGGAGAGATGGACACACTCACCTGAATGACAAACTTTGGGTCGATGTGTTTCTTGGCGATTGAGGGCTGGAAGTCCTGTGACTCGAGGAACCTGAGGAAGAACTCGTAGATCAGCTGGAGGTGTGGCCAGCTGGACTCCAGGGTCGGCTCGTCCTCCTCGGGGTCAAACTCCGCCCCCGAGGGGTTCGTGGAGGGAGGGAGGGCACGGAACGCATTATGAGAGAACTGGGTACACGAAACAGGGGAGAAATATACACACATACTGTGGCACAGCTATAACTTCATGATATTTTGACACCCCAGTATGCCCTCAATATTGGATGACCCTGCAAATTATTCTGGTCACGAGATGCGTTGCCATTCATTGAAATTTTCACGGCTTCTGTGAGACACACCCACTCCAAATGCATGCACCCGGCTGGCCACACCCACTAAATTACTCCTCACCATGGCGACTGCCTCGGGGTAAATAAGCTCGGTGATGACTCCTCTCTGGGAGGTCATGAACTCCACGAGCTCCGTGATGGCGGCCCTCTTCACCTCCTTGTACTTGAGGTCGCTGAGTGGGTCCAGGTTGAAGTCGAAGATGACACAGCATTGGCGGATTTTCTGAACGAATAGCTCCTCGCGATTAGCCACCGAGGCATCTGGGGGGAAGATGGGTGGGTGGCAAAGAAGGTGGAGAGGAAGTAAAGAGAGGAAGAGGAATGGGAGACGAGGGAGAGAGAGACAAGTTTTGGAAAGGATGAATGTTTTTGTGTGTGGTGAGTGTATCGGAAGTACACACATTGAGTGGGTATAAATAGTGTTGCCTATATACTGAGGGACTGCAACTCCAGTAAACATGTCCGTACCCCACATGCATACTCATGTACCACAACAGGTTTGGATTACTCTGGGATGTACATAGTGTCTGTATAAATGGTTTCCTGTGTGAGTGGTGTGTGTGTGTGTACCTTTGAGGGGGGGAAGCTTTTGTATCTCCCTATTCCTGCTGATGTTGAACCTCGACGACCCTCTGTTTCTGTCCTTGCGGATGTGGGGACCGGTGAACTGGATCTTGTCCAGCATGTTGGTGTAGGAGGAGGCCGGCAAGTGAGGGTGTCCTGGTCGCTGTGGGAAGGAGAGGAAAAGGAGGGAGAGAGGGCAAGTCAGGGGAACAGCTAGTATCCCACTTCCTAATAAAACCACACAAAGGCCTCCAGTAATTTCAATGTCGTGTGTTATTGCCAGTGTACAAAGTTCACAGGCATTCTTATTACGCATGATAATGAAACTTTACACATAGCAAGGCCTCATACTGCACTATACATCCCTCCCCTCCTAACAAATAGAACACTTGCTTCTAGAGCAATAAGCACACAAGAAAAACAACAGAAGTCAAGAGAGAGGAGAGAGAGGGAGAGAGGGGGGACCGACCAGGTGCTGTGGATGTACCGCAGCAACCCCGGCATGTTTGGGGGGCCCGTTAACAGGTAGGGGGACCAGGGGCTGCCCCTCCAGGGGGCACGGCACCCGTGGGGGTATTCGAGGGAGTGGAGGACTGAGGCGGAGATTGCTGCTGAGTCAGGGGGACAGAGGTGGAAGAGGCAGGGGTAGGGGTAGAGGTGGGGTTCGCCCCCGCCTGGGGGGCCTGCGGGGGTCCTGTTTGGGGGGTTCCAGAGGGTGTGGCATGGGATTTGTCCTGTTTGTCGTGTTTGTCTTTATCCTTGTCTTTCTGTGTGGGGGAGGGGGGGGCAGGATAACATAGTAGAGAGGTGTGGGAGAGAGAAGAAGGGAAGGAAAGAAGAGGAGAGAGGGGGGAAGAGAATGATAGATAGAGGGAAGAGGGGAGAGGGAGGATGGAGAGAGGAGAGAGGGGAGAGGGAGGATGGAGAGAGGAGAGAGTAGAGAGGGGAGAGGAGAGTGGAAGCAAAATGTAGGTAATGTGGGATGTGGCTCTATAGGCGGCCAAGTTGGCAGAGGGATGGAATTACACAACGGTGGCACGTGACAGTTTGGTGTCACTGAAAAACACACCTCACTCCATCACGTCTACGCCTCCTTTCGTAATGGCTGGAGTTGACAATAATTGGGGATTGTGTGTTTTACCAACAAAGGGGTCCCAATACCGCAAAAACGCAGTCCATTTGGAACGGACTGCAGACGTACTACATGTGGAAGGTGACACTAACACACAGGCCAGCACTACTTGACATACAATACGACGCCCTCTTGGGCTCCTCCCACACTCAACATACGCTCTGTATGGTCAACTCCTAGCTTAGCGTCCGCCCACACGGTAATAAATCCGCACGCACACAAACCACGCTCTCCCACGCCTCCTCTTCCTCCCAGTTATACGTACACACACCTTGTCCTTGTCCTTCTTTTTGATCGGCATGTCGTTCTTGTTCTCTTTACTCTGGCTCTGTATACGCCGGTCCAGGGAAGAATCGCATGCTATAACACACACACAACCACGAGCCTTCCACGCACACCACCGCCGGGACGTGAAGTATACGGGATCGCTCCGTGCGCGGCAAAGATAAAGCTCAGTGGCCTCTGAAGGTTGTCTTTCACGGGGGCGAGTGTAGAAAGGGCGGGGAGGTAAGGGGCGATCACGCTGTTCTTCTCGCGTGGACAGCCATCTTTTTCAGCTAGGCGCACCTACCGCAGCTAAGCGCGCGTATCACAAAGGTGCCCCCTCCGCTGGTCCGGCCCCCGCTGAATTATTCGCGGAGGGGGCAACGACGCATGAGCGCGCGCATACATGACCGCGCGATCGAACGAGCCGAATGGAATGCGATCCGATAAATTTTGTGGAGGTAGTAAACACACTGGGAGCTCACTGAAAGGGAGCGACCTCTAAGATGTGGCCGCGAAGCTGCCTTGCAGTGCTCTCTCTGCTACTCCTCTCGGTAAAAGAAGTCGCCGAAACACGCCTGTCAAACCGTGATCCTCTCTCCTCTCTCTGCAGGCGCTGCCGAGGCCAGCACATGGGACCTACTACTTCTACGTGGAGCTCCAGTCCTTCAGCAATCCGAACAACAGAGACCACAACGGCGGCTGCTGCGAACCTAGTTGCGGAAACCCGTGCGACAACTACTTCATATTCTGCCTGCGGCAAGCGGGCTACGACCGAAATAGCAACATATGTCCGTACGGTTCGTTCAGTACTGCTGCGAACGTGCGGAGTGGGTCCACCCTGCAGTTTAGCTCGGCTGACCTTGCACCAAGCGTGCCTAATCCGGTTCGATTTGCCGGCAACGTCTGGCCGGTAAGCTTATAGATACACTGACCAAGGGTTGCAAACTCTCCGTAGTATTACGTGCATTTTTTCTCTATCCTAGTTGGGATTTCAGCTAAAGATAAGAGTGTTGGATGCGGATGGCGATGCCGACGATCTGGTTGATTACTTCATTATAGAGGAGTCCTCGTTTCTCCCCACTAATGATTACACTGACTATACCACCTACGGGGGGGAGAACTCAAACGATGTTACCATCAGGCTCCGTTACCGACTGCGCTGTCGTGGGAACTGGCACGGCCACGACTGCAACATGATCTGCGTGGATCAGGACACAGACACGGCACACCTGGAGTGTGCTCTGGACGGGTCATACGTCTGCATGGACGGATGGGCAGACCTCACCACTCAGTGCACAGTCCGTAAGTAACAATCATCGCTCACGAGTTGACATTTCCATAGCTGCTAATAGAGAAAGCCTAGCCAGCAGTAGTTAACTCGTGCTGCAGCGTGAGAACACAACAGCCAACATTAGATTTATAGTGAATTCAAGATGTACTTTGTAATCAGCGTGGAGGGGGAAGTTTGGGCCTCTAATAAAGAATTCCTTTAGCAAGTATTGTGATAAATTTTCTCTCTCCTCACTAGCAATCTGCCAGGAGGGTTGCCACCTTACTGGAGGTACCTGTAACCAGCCGGGAGAATGCAAGTAAGCCAGCGTTTGCCAAAGACGATCCTTTTGTACACCACCTGTCTATGCAATCATATGCAACAAGTAGATTCAGTTTCTGAAGATCATAATGTGCGAATTCTTTCTCTCTCTCTCTCTCTCTCGATTACCTGCATCAGTTGTGAACCAGGCTGGTCTGGGGATCTTTGTGACACGTGCACACCAAAAGAGGGATGTGGTGAGTGGCCACACACACACACTTTTCAACACTCACACGGAACGGTTGATTGCTAGACGTGGCCTTTTTTCTAGCTGTCTGACTTATAAAACTAGGCCAAACACATTGATATTCGAGACTGAGTCGTATAACAAATCTCAAAAAGACAAGTCCTTGTGTATATACATGATGAATGGAAGAGCACCATGCAACCACCATCTGTATAATACGAGTGGAAAATATTGCCATTGCGCCTTTGTTTGTCTTGGTGCACATGACCACGTCACATCAACAAATAAGACTGTGTTGGCGTGTTAATGATGTTATGAATGACGTTAGAATCGTGACGTAATAGGAAAATATATACATGAGGTGTTAGGTATGGACACCTATTTGCTATTTTGGGTGTGGTTGTAAAGCAGTGCAGGGACATTATGCTTATCAGCTACAAGCTAGTAATTAAGGAGCTACATAGTAAGGTTGGGCAGTCTTCGTAAGAATTAAACATGGTGTGTATATACTATTAATGTCTCGTCTTACACTTGGAATGGATATAATTAGACCGCAGTCACACGCAATTGACCAATCAGATTACAGAATTGCGGGGGGTTTATTTTTCATAGACACCTCGTTTCAGGTGTCTAATGGTGTTTGCAGGTGGTCTACAGCAAACTCCCCGTACAAAATGGCTCTTCTCAAAAGTCGTTATCTGCGCAAACTGGCCGATTCCGCGTTCGGTATATGTAAGCGTAGAAGGCGCGACTGGCAAAGTAGCTCTTTTAAAATGCGTAGTGCACCTGCAAGAAGTCTGTGGACAGTCTCCGGAGCTCGCGAAAGTCAGAAATCACGTCAATATTCCACGAAAAAAGCGTCGGCTTCTTCAGCTCTGGCGATACACAAACCACATTGGGCCGTTGCCGTGCGTTGCTAACCCTTTCAAACGCGCACCACCAATGAGGGCGTTTTATGATGACGTAAACGATTTTTGACGGGGGGCGGGGGCTGTCTCCTCGGAGTCTCACACGTTAAAAAAGCGTCTTGTTCCATCCAAAGGTAAGGAATGAGGAGGAATGAGCGCAGCGTTGCTAGCTTGTTGCTACCCATTTGAACGCGCAAACACCAATCAGATACTCCGGTCTAAACCGGTTAGACGCGGAAGCTCGGTTGTCTACGCAACATTGCAACCCTCGGGGCATGTGGGTAGCGCCCTCGCTGCGCTCGGGACGCCAACATTCCACAGCCCCTCGGGTTGCAATGTAGTGTAGACACCTCGCTTCCGCGTCTAACCTATATATAGAACTTGACCAGCAATCCAAATTGCCCAATCCCATTTGGCAAGACAGATAGATTATACTCTCTATCTTCTATTTCCTACAGTCAATGGTTACTGCACTTCCCCCAACGACTGCACGTGTAACGAGGGATATACCGGGCCCCTCTGCAATATCTTGGAGGACCCCTGTGATTATCTATCTCCCTGTGTCCATGGCAACTGTACTAACGAGGGCGGTGGTAGTTATTTGTGCAGCTGCGAGGCTGGGTACACTGGTTCTGAGTGTGAGACTGAAATTGATGAGTGTGTGGCCGGTCGCCCCTGCCTCAATGGTGCCACTTGTGAGGTACGTCAGCTGGCGTGACTGCAAGAGAGAATGTGTGTGTGTGGATGGGTGAATGAGGGAGGGAACTACAAAACTTGCTATTGCGAAATAGTTTCACGAAATTCCGTGCACCATTTTGGAAAATGATTGGGTTTTTTTACATGATGAACTCACCAGCCAACCTTTCGTTAACTTCTTTGCTAGAGCTGTTGTTGCATGTCTATTGACGCATTGGCTCTGGTTCCTAGCAACCTCCTCCCATAAGCCAAAGAGGTGTACTTATGCATCAACAAGTCCTGATGTCATCGAACAGCAATGATTTCCCCATCCATTAACTCTGTGTGTGTGTTCCAACTTCTCATGGGTTCCACATACACCTCACGCAATATATGGAGTCAGGAGAGGGAAGCTGTGTCTGTGTATGTTGTCAGTCAGTGGTCCTTATAGGATTCCAAGTGCTGTCTACTGCAGTGCGTGTGTTTATGGAAGCTAGTATGCCGTGAGCAAAACAGGTCTTCGGTAGTGTTAGTAATATAGGATAGGTAGAGAGGTACTAGGTATTTAGTGGTGTGTTAGAGTAGAGAAAGACTAGTTGTGTGAGAGGTCTTTGTGGTGTTTCAGGACCAGGTGAATGGGTTTACGTGTTCCTGTGCCGTGGGATGGACTGGAGACACGTGTGGAGACGACATTGATGACTGTGCTGAGGTTTCTGAGTGTAGCGATGGATCCAACTGTACAGTAAGTTTCTTTGCATTGCTATCGTATTGGCTAAGAGTTGATTCGCCAAAGTGATGCAGCATTTAAAAAGGAATAGTGGTGAAAAATAGGAACCTCGGGCCTTTTAGTTAGAAGATGCGGTAGGAGTGTGGTATAAGAGTTGTGGCAGCAGAGTGTATTCTGGACTCACGTGGTCGGTGCTGCAGGTTGGCTGTCTGAATGGAGGGACGTGTGTGGATGAAGTCGGAGGGTTCACCTGCGAGTGTCCCCCACTGTTCTCGGGGGGCAACTGTCAGGAGCCAACTGACGGAGACCAGTGTGACCGTCTCCCCTGTCTCAATGGGGGAACCTGCACCGATGACGTAAGACCCCTTTATAATGTAGACTGGGGGATACACATTACTCCAGCATTTCCATTTCTTTATCAAAGATCACCACTTCACAAAGCAGAAAAAGTTTCACATATTTGATGAAAATCCACGAATATTTGTAGGCGGGTATCATCGCTAGTATAATATAGCAGTAGCAACAGTTTTCTTCATAAATGATTTCTCTCTCTATGAAGTATAATGGTTTCAAGCTCTCTGGCAGAGCCCCCACCATAATAGTGTGGACATTGTGGCATTATCTGCTTTCCATGCAGTTCCTGGTGTTCAAATGTGAATGCCCCCCGGGGTTCAAGGGGGACAGATGCGAGGAGCCGACGGACCCTGACCTCTGCGGTGAGCTCGCCTGCAAGGAGGACGAGATATGTGTGGTGGTGGGGGACGGTTCAGGGAAGGATGGACACGTATGTGCTCCTTGCGACAACGGTAAGGACCTACTGGAAGTCATATCTCTTTCTAGATGGCTGCTGAATAAGCCAATTGCATGTTTTTATTTCGAGTACCGAAACACCACCTCACATCAACAAGCCCGTGTGTGTGTGGGATGAACAATAATAGCATATATACACCTTGGTATCCACATCATTAGTGGTGGTGGGGCCATATATAGGTAAAGGTAGTCCTCGTGTTAACTGTTTATCTACTGCAGTATTGTACTTGGGTATTGGTTGTGATGATAGCCTGTTCCTTTCAGGTCCTGCAGGTTGTGACAAAGAAGTAGCTGCTCAGTCAGGTGAGCCCCAGTTCCATGTGTGGGGGGGTGGACGGGTTGGAGAGTGAGATCATGGTTGCAGTAGTACAACTTTAGGGATTGGGGTGTGCCATACACACCCCCTCCCCCCCGGCCCCCCCGATCTCACTCTCCATCTCTATCTTTAGACAACAAAGCACAAGACGACACGCCAGTCATCATAGGAGCCTCAGTGGGTGGAGCTGTCCTCCTTCTCCTCCTACTCCTCTGCCTCCTCGTCTCCTGTTGCTGGTGCCACTCCTTATGGCTCCTCATTTGTCCCTGCCTCAGGAGAGACAAAGTCGAAGAAAATGGTCAGTGAAATGTAATTGGAAAATTTTCAAAGTTTGAGAGAGCTTATTCCATTGACCACGGGGTGGAGCTAGGACAAGAGTTAATGGAGGTGCCGGCCTGAACACCCAAACTTACCCAACTTGCTAACTCCTTCTTCTTTTTTACTGCAGACGCTGGGAACGGTACACTCACCTCTCCATACTCCAGTGTCTCCCACAATGCCATGAACATGGAACCGAACACGCTCCTGGCCTCGGGGAAAACCGCCAGCCTCACCGCCAATGGTGGACTGCAGAATCCCATGTACGCTGCCCCAGGAGGGGCGAAATTCAGGGCACCTCCAACTGGAAACGGGTCCACCACTCACTACGACCAGCTTACTCACAGACCTACCTCAGCCAATAAGGAAGACTTGGTTGTGGAGGACCTGGAAAAAGACCTGGCTTTGGAGAACTCACAGAAGGAGGATCCTCATTACGAAGCTCTGGGACTCCACCTCTTGCCAACGACCTCCCCACAGTACCAGAAGCTAGTGGATACTTTGCAAGACGGATCAACACAGGCAAAGGGGGCCTATGCTTCTCTGTACAACGTACCCTCTGCTACCGACTGCCCCCCGCAGGTCCCTCCGCGACCCCCGCAGCTTATGCCCCCTGCAGTGGGCGGAGCTCGACCCGAGAACCCCTACATTGTCACCCCTGCACGAGCCCCAGTTGATTCCATGGCAACGACCTCTCCCACTACCCCCGAGAAATCAGATTTGGCGAAGGAATACGAAAAATTGGACGAACCAGACCTATCAAAACTCTGACCACACCCCTACAAAACGAATAATTGACAGTTTTTAAAAACATGTGTAATAAAATGACTGTTGTATTATAATAATCGTGTACATAATTGAATGAACTGCTGACATGATTAATTTCACACAACACCTCTACACCAAAACCACACCCAAGACTCCGCCCACTATCTGGGTGATAAGCTCCCTAATAGAGGGTCTTCCTCTTCACTTCTACTGCTGCCAATTGAGCGACACACCCCTCTCCGGTTCAGTTCCAGGATCCTGCATGGGAATGGAAAACCTAACGTTACCGTAAGCTGCTGACTGAAAGAAAACACCTTTGCAGAAGCCTCATTGTGTTTTGGCTTAGTTTCATACGGAAAGACCGGTGCCACTCACAGTGTTAGGCCGAGGGGAATGAGGAGGGCCCCTGCCATCAGGAAGAAGACGAGACCGGGAGAGACGGACCTGGTTGCAGGATAGAGGGAATTGTAGATGACGGACGCCAGGAGAGTGCAGACTGCCTCCACCACACTGACCCCTGAGAATAGCACTCCTGAGGGAGGAGAGAGAGGAAGGGGAGAACGTGAAGGGGGAAAAGGGGAAAGTATACTATATAACATTTGTTGTGAAGCAAGCACATGCCTTGCAAGCAAACCAGGCTTTTTGCAATTCCGGCCCAACTATATAGGATTCATGCAAGAATTTGACAAAGGAGTATATATATATATATGAAGAAATATAGAACAGTGAAGAGTGGTATATAAAGTCACAAGACACCTTGCATGTCTACTGGAGTTGATCTGGAGAGCATGGAGCGAATGATGGGGACCACACACCCCCTCATAGCTCCCACCACCGGAACTATAGAGAGAGAGAGAGAGAGAGGAAAGAAGTGAAGAAGAGAAAGGAGAAGAGCGGAGAGGTGGAGGAGATACCTATAAACATCATCCAGGTGTGTGTTGCTAAACCCATGATGTGGAGTGCCGCACCACCGGCCACCAACCCCACTACCATCAGCACCATGTCACCGAGCCCCACCAGAGAGAGGAGGGGCAGGAGAAGGAGAGTTGCCACTCCATTCATGAAGGCCTTGGCGGCGAGGAAGTACCCAATAAGACCTGTCCCCCAGCACAGCGGGTCCCCGAGGGCAAACAGAACTACAGTATCGTTGACCCCGAGGAAATTTATCTCAACGACAAAAAACATTCCCAGGAGGAGAGTAAGTTTCCAGCTTCCACATAGGAGCCTCATAAACGATAGGAGCTTCCCGAAAGACGATCGGAGGAGGTCACACGACGAGGACAACAATGAGCGGGCGGTGGGTCTCCGTGGATACTGTTGCCGAGGAGACTGTTGTCGTAGAGACGAATCCAAGGAGGAGTAAGAGTCTTGTACGGATGACCTGCTGCCCACTGGTCTCTGTCTTGTGCTGACCATCTCCAATGAGTCTGGAAGAGCGACTATCACATACACTACTATGAAGAGGTCCAGAGCCATGATGCAGCACAAGGGACTGGAGAAGTAAATGTTGTCCACCCACTTACCACCCACGAGAAAGCTCAACGTGGCTCCAAGAAAGGTCATGGACTCCAGGATGCTGATCTGAACGGTTCTCTTTGAGTCAGCGCTCACGTCGCTCACATAGGAGAATGCGGCAAAGTTGAAAACGGGAAAACTCCCGCTGAGTCCCGAGAGGAGGCCTCCAAGAAGGAAGAAGGGGAGAGGGAACGTCGGATGGAAATGGATCACTAGAAGGATCACCATCTGGTTCAAGATGGAACCCAGAGCAGGGAGGACCATGAACAGCCTCCGACCTCTCACGTCGGAGACTGCGCCGTACAACACGGAGACCAGTATGGACGGAATCCCTGACGCTATGTTGACGTACAGGAGCCAATGCGACGCTAGCGTCTGGACCCTTTGCTCCGTAGCGCTAGGCACTCCGCAACTATTGGGCTCCGTGGAACAGTTGGGGGTACGCTGGCAGGCGAGGTAATGGAGCAACTCTTGGAAGACGGTGTAGGATAAAAACGAGCCGAAAGAATAGAGGAAAAGGACGGGTTCCACGGTCAGGTAGACCCGCGGCTGGTGCAGCTTCTTCCACACGCCAGATATAGTGGAGCACATTGCCGCTGGCAGGGTTTCTAGCTGTCTTCTTCAGCGAACTCCCACGTGGGTTTTGGCGTTCGGAATTCACACACACGACCGGCACGCCCACTTTGATTTCTATTTGGAGCCCACCAGAGAACGGAAGTTTTGCAAGCAGCGTTCTCTCTCTTGGCAGCACAGGGAGTAGATCGTTAGGTTGAGCAGCAAGTCAAAAGACTGACCGCGGTGAACCATTCCAGCAAGCTGATCGCGCAGTACAGAGCAACTGAAGACGGTGGGCTGGGCGGTTACACCTACCACGTACTGCGTAGTGGCCTTATTGGGACCACTCCCGCCCGCTCGCTTGCTCTGCTAGCCGACTTCTGAAGGACAAATTAGGGAAGCCCGCCCGCTCGGTCGCTCCGTCTAATGCCTACGACGACAATGGCGGACGATGTAGAAGTGGATTTGGACAGCGTAATCACAAGACTATTGGAAGGTATAGCCAGCTACAGCAGTCCACACACCCCGCTTTACTCTCCGTTTCTCTCTCCCCCAGCGAGAGGAACGCGGACAATAAAGACCGTGCAGCTAGCGGAGAACGAAGTGAAGGGGTTGTGCATGAAAGCCAGGGAGATTTTTCTCAGTCAACCAATTCTACTGGAGTTGGAGGCACCACTCAAGATATGTGGTGAGAATTACACTCTAGCAGCGGATTGGAATGTTCGTGTTTTTGCACTTGGGGATACACAGTTGATATACACACCTTTTTTTCCAGCCTTCTCGTGTGTCTGGGGCATATGTGGGTGGCCAGATGTACATGTGTGTGTGTGTACATACAACTGGGCGACGGTTGTGTATTATACCTACGTCTGCCCGTCTAGAGAAACCAGTTTGGTAGTTAGTTGTCTACTTTATAGAGGAGAGAGACAGAGATAGAGAGAGGGAGAGAGAGAGAGACAGAGATAGACAGAGGGAGAGAATGAAAGGAGAGAGAGGGAGACAGAGATAGAGAGAGGGAGAGATAGAAAGGAAAGAGAATGTGCTCCCTCCCCACTTGCAGGCGACATTCATGGCCAGTATACAGACCTCCTCCGGCTGTTCGAGTACGGACTGTTCCCGCCAGAGGCAAACTACCTCTTCCTGGGTGACTACGTGGACAGAGGCAAGCAGTCCCTGGAGACCATCTGCCTTCTCCTGGCCTACAAGATCAAGTACCCCGAGAATTTCTTCCTCCTCCGCGGAAACCACGAGTGTGCCAGCATCAACCGAATCTACGGCTTCTACGACGAATGTGAGTTGTAATTTTACTATCCATCCTTACTTAGCTTCTTTTGAAGTCTATCAGCTTCGTTTACCATTAATTATGGGCTCTGTTGTATTATAGGGTGATGAGTTTAATTGTCAACATATGCACAGTTATGTAGCTGAGCTTGCCCAAGTTCCAATCAACTAGTTGTAAAGGGAGGCTGTACTCTTGTTGTGCCGTGCCAATCACATCAGCCTCTTGGCGACTTATGGGTGCCTGATGTAGTGTGTATGTACCATGCATTAAGTTCCGTTGCTTCCCCCCTTCTCTTCTTATCACAAAAACGTGTAACGCACTGTGGCAGACATATGTGGTATCGAACGAACTGGGTGTATATAGTGCCCTAGTGTGAATTGTCGGTCGATGACATCATTTGTGTGGCTAGTGACATCATTTCAAGAGCTCCCCATCAGTTCACTGTATCAGTGTGGAAGCTACCGGTGCATGCACATATAGAAGCCTGGCAAAGTTTGCAAACGCGTCAATTTGTGTGTTCCGCGGTAATCCTGCAGTAACCCCTACAATCATGGCTTGTGGTTAAGTGTTTCCTAGTATTGGGAAACAAAGGGTGTCGCCCCTCGTATTATGTAGGCTCTGGTTGACATTCTTACAGGCAGAGGTCACATGGCCTGTATGAACAAATAGTTCTTGAGAACTTTACCCGTGTGTTTATGGTGCCATGGGAGAAGAGTTATAGGTTCCTGTCCTCCCTTTCTCTCTCCTTTTCTCTCTCTTCTTCCACCCCCTCCCTCTCCCCCCTCTCTCCCTGCTTCTCTCCTCTTCAGGCAAGCGAAGGTACAGTATTAAGCTGTGGAAGACGTTCACCGACTGTTTCAACTGTCTCCCCATCGCTGCAGTCATTGATGACAAGATCTTCTGCTGTCACGGAGGTATGTAACCCCACTACTAGTGGACCCTCTCTAAAGACACAGTGTATTGGGCAAGGACCTCCCTTTCCCTACACATGTTGTAGATCATTAGATCACTGGACATGTAGTATAACAACTAGTGTAAGACAACACATCCCACACCTTTCCTCTCTCTCCCCCTTCATGTGTTTTACGTAATTATACGCTTCACTTTAAGCGTAGGAATGCAATTTACGCATACCGCTAAGTCTGTACTTCCTGTATTCCCCCTATTCCTCATGCCTAACTCCCTCTTTCCTCCCCCTCTCACTACCTTTGTCTGTTTACATGCTGCGTATAGTGTCTCACACTGTCTCACACTTGCAGAGCCTCTGTTTTTACTTGTGAATGCTCTTCGGTATTTGCGGGTTCCTTTTTGGCCAATTGTGCTGTACAGTTATCAGTCTGGTGCGCTGCCCTGGTAGCTCAGTTGGTAGAGATCTCGTTTGGAACTCTCTTTTTTCATCGTCGTGTGTTTGAGGGCGGCTCTCTTTTCTGAAGAGGTTTTGTCTTGGGTTTAGTTGGTGTGTGGTGTTAAAACCCTGTGATTAATGGTTTCACACACACTCACACACAAACGCAGGCCTATCTCCGGATCTCCATGATTTCGACCAGATACGGTCGGTCGCGAGACCGACAGACGTCCCAGACACTGGTCTCCTCTGTGACCTCCTCTGGTCTGACCCAGACAAGGACACCCAGGGGTGGGGGGAGAATGATCGCGGTGTCTCTTTCACCTTTGGTGCTGACATTGTCACCAAGTTTCTTAACAGACACGACCTGGACCTAGTGTGTCGGGCACATCAGGTACGTATATACAATTTGCGGGTGCTTAATAAGAGAGAGAGACAACATGGTTGGGAGAAAAGGAGGGGGAGTAAAACGTATACAGGCTGTGAATTTCTAGCGTTCTGTAAATACCCGTATTATATACTTTCACTTTCAATTGTGGTCCGCAAAACTCTGTAAAAAAGAGAGACCTGTTTGTTACATTTTTGCGTTTTGTTTGTATGAGATGAATATTAACTTTAAACCTCTCCAGGATGTACAGTTAAACTTCTGATAAAGGACCCTGCGAGTAAAGTAGTACACTTTTTATACTACCACCGAATAAGTGAATAGGAACACGGTTTTGATATCCCTAAGGTACAGGAGGTGTAACTGTGTTCCGCTGATCACAGGTGGTGGAAGACGGGTATGAGTTCTTTGCCAGGAGGCAGCTGGTCACTCTCTTCTCGGCACCCAACTACTGTGGAGACTATGACAACGCAGGGGGCATGATGACAGTGGACGAACAGCTCTTCTGCTCCTTCCAGGTCTGTCTTCATAATTATGTAGGTGTCTTGGAATGAAGCATGCTATTGGGTGTATTATTTCGTGGGTGTGAATTTAACGCCATAGCTGTAGTCACTTCAGAAGTTTGCTGGTTGCACTTGGAATCGGGCAAAAAAATTTAGCACCAGTCACCTAGTGATGACCAGAAAAAGCACAAATATCTGTGTAAAATGGCAGCAAATAGTTATCTAGTACAGCTGTAGTGGAAGCTTTTTACAAAGTTTTACGTCTTACGATACCTGAACGCATTGTAGTATATAGCTTAGCGCTTTTTCTTTCTGTCTTGAAATTATTCTTCTGGTCTCTTGTAGATTCTAAAGCCGTCAGAGAAGAAGGCGAAATACCAGTACTCTGGGCTGAATTCTGGCAGACCTACTACAGCTGCAAAGACCCACATCAATAAAACATAGAGCATAATGATAATATGCAGTCCCTCTGTCTATTTTTAACGACGTATTATACATTGCATTCTCCCCTGTCTGTGTGAACGTGTGCTTGTAATTATTGGTATATTATATTTGGTTTTGTCTCGCAAAGAGCTTTTCATTGCGCATGCGCTTTAGAATGACTCGCGGGATCCGGGAATGGGTGTATGAGCGTTTTGAACGCATGCGCGTGCGCGCCTAACCCCCACACACCCATGTGCTGCTATCCGCCATTGCTCTAAACTCCGAAGCTACAAGACGAGCCGATCGGAGCGTGGAGGGATGTCGGCGGGTGCAGGAGAAGGTAGCGGGAGCAAGGTGTTCAACCTGGGCCCGGCGGCGAGCTACCAAGCAGAGGATCTGGTGATAAAGCGAAAGGCCCCTGGTCGGGACGAGGAGAGCCTTGTGAAATGGAGCCTCGCAGATCCCGACGCCCTCTCCAAGGAAGAATATGACGAGTATGGAGAGAAGATGTGCCAGACGTATCTCGTGTGGATGCGGAACGCGGAGGTGGAGGCTTGCTGTCCCAATCTGCTGTCTCTCCAGAGAGCTCACGACAGCCGGCAGCACCCCCCGCAGCAAGGCGGCCTCGAGGCAGCGGCCGGGGAGCAGCAAGCGGCATCGTCCAGCTCCGCAGCAGGCAAGGAAGGAGAGGCGGGCGAGGAGTCCGTGACGGAGATGGTGGAGGACATCAAGAGTCTGGTCGCCAGAGCCAAGCGCATCTTCGCCAGGTCTCGGGAAGACGCGAGGAGGGGGCTGGGGAAAGCAGGAACGAAGATGCTGGCTAGCACCATGAACATTCTCAGTGCGTACGCGCAGGTCGGCGCCGTTGCGAACACGTTCCGCGAGAGCGGAGCGCTGGACTTGCTGCTGGACCTGCTGACGTCCGAGGACGGCGACATACGACGCAGCGCAAGCGAGGTGCTCCGTTCCCTGGCCACGTTCGACGCGGGGAGCCGCGCCTACGTGCTGCTGAAGCTCACGGAGGGGGACGTGAGTGGGGCAGACAACTCCACCTCCCAGAGTCGGCAGATGATGCTGGATCTCTTCTCGGACACTGCGTCTGTGAACGAGAGCGATGTAGTTCTCAGCAGCACCACACTGCCACAGGTAAACAATCCCTTGGGGAATTTTTTTCTTTCAACTTCAACAAGAAGTCCATTTTCAAGATACAGTGATGTGTGCATGATTGGTAGCACTATGATGCTGTACTTGAGTGTTGTTTGCAGAGATTTTAGATGTGCATTTTCAGATTTGCTCATTTTCAATTTCTACTTTGGACTTTCAATCCTGATTATGTTTTTTTTTCCCTTCGTTTACTTTATCCTGTTGGTTTCCAGGTGCCGAGTCGGTTCATCTACTACCTCCTGAAGAAATATCTCCACGTCAACTCGCTCATCAAGGACCATGACTCCGCCTCCTCCCTGTCTGTTGCTCGCAGGCGACGACAAAACCCTCCAGCGATTGCGGGACTTTGAGGTGTTCGATGCACAGTTCGATCTCCTCGCGGAACTCTTCTTCGTCTTCAACTGGTTCGAGGGAACCTTGCTCGAGGAATACCAGAAGACGATCCAGCGGGCCTTGAAGGGGGTCTCAATTTTCACGGGGACCATGCCCACCGCGGAGGCGCTGGCCCCCCGCAGGAAGAAGAAGAAGGTCTACAAGACGAGAGCGGATTTCGGCACTGACGACAAATACGGGAACTACGTGAAGAATACACTTCGCCAGGGAATGAGGGTCAGGAGAACGCCCCCCAGAGTATTCTAACCCTCTTACTATTTTTCGTGTTGTGTGTCAGAAAATTCTCTCCTCCTTTTATCCACCTTTACTAGGATAATTTTCACAATACACGAATTCCTTAGCCTGCAAAACTGCTGAAAATTTTACACTGATGCCACTGCATAAAAATCTGAAGAATAATTGTCAGCAGCACTATTTTCCTGCCTCTCTTTCCCCCTCGGACCCAGGTGAAGGCCAGAGGCAGCTATGAGTCGGTGTCAGAGGGGGACTATGGTGTGTATCGTCAGACCAACAACGGCCATCCTCCCGCTCAGTTTGCCTGGGACGGTCTCGGGGGTGACACCTACTGGCTGTGGTGGCATCAGGTCGAGATCCTCCCTCCCATCTCCTTCGACAATGAAGATGACGGTCAGTCACGGTGTGAACTGAACTTTACACGTACTGAGCTGGTGAACAGCATACTGTACTGTACACGTACTGAGCTGGTGAACAGCATACTGTACTGTACATATGTTGTGGAACCGTGACCCGAACTATCCTTATTTGGGAGTTGTTCTTTTAGATAGAGGTGTTCCACTGTATCAGGTAATTTGACGATCATTTGAGCGCATGTGTGAACTGTGCAGTTTATTGCACAATTTATTGTTTGCATACTATTTTGAAACACTCGTAAATCAGTCAGAAAAAGCTCCTAATTTGAAGCTTACATTTCATTTGAAAACAGCTCTCCGATATAAATTGGCCAAGTACTAGCAAAGCGATGAGGAAAGGTCATAATGTCAAGCAGATCCGACAGTATATTTCTCCTTCCCTCCGTCCCTCCCCGCCCTCCCTACACCATTTCTTCCCCAGACCCGGCCACGATAGCGTACCAGCGACCGCTGAAGCAGCCGTACGTGATGCGATCTCTGGACTGGCCGACGGACGTGTCTCTCTCGCAGGTGCCCGTGAGTCAGCCGTTCTGGTGGGAGGTCCTCTGTCTGGCCAACACCGACCCCGAGCTGGTGGAGACGGTTGTCAGTATCATCAGACTTCCCCACATCAAGGTCTGCGCCACCTTCTCTGTGTGTGTGTGTCATCTGCGTGGTAAAGGCAAAGCAAAGTAAACCAACACACAGTGGGACACGTTTCAATATGGCGAACTGTGTCAATATTTCCAACGAAAAACAAAACCTCTGAAAAAGGACACCTCTCTATAAAGAACACTTGTTCTGCCCCATATTACTGCATGTGATCTCCAAATACCTAAAAAGGATACATTCAGTTTCACTTATTTGGAGGCAAAGAGGAAAACCTATGATCACGTTTGCAGTTTGTTGTGGACTTTTTGTCCATCTTCCTCTCCCCCCCCCTGGCCCCCATAGACGCTGGCAGACCTGGTGTCGTACACCCCAACCCACGCCCAGTGTGCCCAGATCCTCGAGGCCATGGAGAGATCCGCCCCGTTCCTCGCCAGAGAGCCACTCAGCGTCAAGGAACTGAGCCAGTTCCGAGAGAAGTACTCCGACCCCACGCAGGAGATAGCCGTCGCCAACGACAACCCGGACGAGCAGGACAAGGCGTTAGCGGGGCCGTACCGACTGGTGGCTCCGTACCTTGACCCCTACGACCAGGAGGACCCCATCCACAGCTACCTCCCTCATGACATACCAAGTGGGTGGAGCCTGAAATTCCTCCCAATCAACAATAGAATAGTTGGGACTAAACTCCCATACGGAGTGAAGCCTTTTTAGTAATTATCAAACCAGTTTTTAGGGCTAAACCGACAAACGGCATCAACTTTTGTCGCGTTTGAAACCCTCCTTGCTCAAAAAAGAGACCTTGGCTGGTTCGTCGTCAGGGTGACCCAGCTGGGTTTGTGGTGAAAATTTTTTTTGCTGTTTCTGTCGTTGTGCAGACTTTGAGGACATGTTGCAAGGATCACGCAAGGAGATCGAGCAGCTGTTTAGAACAGGTACAGTTTGATGGAGAAAGTGAGAGAGAGAGAGAGAGAGAGGGCCAGGGGGGTCGTGATCATGTGTGTGTCATGTGACCTGTACTCTCTGCTCTCTGTCGCCACCACAGAGTTTGAGGGCAAATTCCCTCAGTCTCGCCGAATGCTGGAGACACTGGCCAAAGAAGGTTCGTCATACACATACACCAGTATCCTCTACCTTTACTTACTATGGGCTAGATACTAGGTATAGATAGATTGACCTTTTGGTGAAACTTGGGGATGATTTTGAGGTTTTCTGGAATTTTCGGGGGAATTTTCATGGGTTGTGGGCCGATTAAGGAACCTTATGCCACCCCCTTTTGCTGGGTTAGTGGGAGTATGGGGTAGTAGTCTTGGTTGGCTTGTGAATGAGTAGTTTTTTGCCCAGATCGATCTACTGCATGTGTATGTAGCACAGAGGAATTGTGTTGCTGAGGTCACGGTGAAGTGGTGAGTTAGTGCTGTAGTCGTGTGCACGCCCTTTTTGGCTTTTTGCCTACGCACTGTACTGTATGTGTAGTCCGTGTGCACCGCCCTTTTCCTGGCTTTTCTGCCTACAGCACATGTACTGTATAGTGTACGTCCGTGTGCACCGCCCTTTTCCTGGCTTTTCTGCCTACAGCACATGTACTGTATAGTGTACGTCCGTGTGCACCGCCCTTTTCCTGGCTTTTCTGCCTACAGCACATGTACTGTATAGTGTACGTCCGTGTGCACCGCCCTTTTTCCTGGCTTTTCTGCCTACAGCACATGTACTGTATAGTGTACGTCCGTGTGCACCGCCCTTTTCCTGGCTTTTCTGCCTACAGCACATGTACTGTATAGTGTACGTCCGTGTGACCGCCCTTTTCCTGGCTTTTCGCCTACAGCACATGTACTGTATAGTGTACGTCCGTGTGCACGCCCTTTTCCTGGCTTTTCTGCCTACAGCACATGTACTGTATAGTGTACGTCCGTGTGCACCGCCCTTTTCCTGGCTTTTCTGCCTACAGCACATGTACTGTATAGTGTACGTCCGTGTGCACCGCCCTTTTCCTGGCTTTTCTGCCTACAGCACATGTACTGTATAGTGTACGTCCGTGTGCACCGCCCTTTTCCTGGCTTTTCTGCCTACAGCACATGTACTGTATAGTGTACGTCCGTGTGCACCGCCCTTTTCCTGGCTTTCTGCCTACAGCACATGTACCGTATAGTGTACGTCCGTGTGCACCGCCCTTTTCCTGGCTTTTCTGCCTACAGCACACGTACTGTATAGTGTATGCACTGTGGTTGAAAGCATCGTGTGGGAAAAAAACATTTTCGTCTAAAGCTCATGATTCTCGTGTTCCATCTCCCTGTGTCGTCCAGGTCTAGAGGATGCCCCCCAGAACTTTCTCCGGACCGTCTCCGGTTATCTCAAGTACCGTCGCGAGGACCAGGACCCCGTGATGCAGCTGCGTTCTCTGGAGCACCGGCAGGACGGCACCATGGCCCTCATCACTCAGGTACATATATACGTCTCACTCCTCCTTTCTTTGATCATTCAATTGTGTTCATCAGACGGTGAATTGGTAGGATATATAGCTGGCAGCAATATTGTGTTCAAGTGCACGCACCCTCAAAGACTGAAGTGTTGTGCAGCAACCATTATATTACAGTTCCAACTAGAAAATGTATATACATAAAATCTCAAACTTAACTCCACGACTTTTTTTACTGCATTTGTTCTGTGCAAGTAACAAGTGGCAATGTTTTCCCTCCTCACGTCTTCTGCTCCCTGTCTCTTGCTCTCTCCTCCTCCATCCCTCCCTCGTCTCCGTCTCTCCTCTGCCTCCATCAGGTCAGAGAAGCCCTCGAGAAGCACGTGGCGGAACACCCGACGAGTGCCCGGGTGGCCACCCACGGTCTCCGTGCCTACCGCTCCGGAGTCCAGGCCATCAACGTGGACTCGGAGCGCCAGGCCGCATGCACCAGCGGGCTCTTCAACCAGTTCCTGAGACTCGTGAAAATGAGCCCGACTTCTTGCAAACTGCAGTGCGTAGGGGTCGACTGTTTCTTCCACCTCATGGGCGGGTTCTCCATCTTTGCCTCCGTGCCGCACCCGCAGTCAGGCCGGAAGACGGTGGGCGGAGTTTCGGAGGCGACCAAGGCGATAGTGATCGGGACACTGGAGAGTCTAGTGACGTCGGATGGGGAAGAGGGAGGACTTAGGGTCATTGTTTCGGCTCTGGCCACCATTGTTGACTGCTATAATATGGAGATGGGCCCCATTGAAAAGAAGTGGGTTCACACACACACACACACTACATACTGTCTTTCTATGCTTGAAGCAGCTATAACACAGCCCTAGCACTGCTAACTTCTTTCTTTTTTTTTTTCTTTTCTTTTTTTTGTCGTCAAGTGTTCCTGTGCTACATTCCTTACTTGTTCGATTCTTCAACACTTACGTATTTCAACTTTCTTCCTCCCTCTCCACCCGCTCTCTTCCTTCTCGTGTACCTCACTCCTTCCTCTCCTTCCTCTCCTTCCTCTCCCTCAGAAACTGTGTCTACGCGGTTCGTCACGGCCTCTTCATTCTCGCTGGCCTCCTGAAGGACTGCGAACTCCAGCAGAAGATGGTCGGCTGGGGCATCCCCGACCTTCTCTACAACGTCAAGACCAAATTCCCCGAGTTCTCCACGAAGAAAGACGTCTGTGCGCTGATCGTCGAGTTCTCCCCAGAGTGTGGCCACATGAAGGACATGCTGGATAGAGACGACTTCGGCTCTGGTGCGCCACACCATTTGCACGATGCAAATTTTTTAGATTCTTTCTTCCCTAAATGTAACGGGCTCAGTCCAAATATATGCAAAAAAATTATGCTCCATTAATACATGTGTGGAACTGAGAAGTGAAAAAATAACTTTTCATAAGCATCAAAATTTCACATTCAGCCCTAAAAATTGGCGACTGTACGGCACAAATATGTCAAAAATTTACCTCATGGTCCCTCGATCCCTCTCCTATCATCTCCCGCCACTAACCTGTGGTGTCTCTCTCCCACTGCTACAGAGGAGGCGCGGAAGGCACTGGTGAAGGAGATGCTGTCGGTCATCAAGGCTCTGCGGAGGTCGGAAGACATCTACTCGCGAAACCCTCTCCCTCGTCTCCTCCGAATCATGGACAGGGACATGACCTCCAACGACATGTTTCTCAGACCTGGTACGTCGGTTGGGTTGAATTCTGGAGATAGACAAAAATTCTGGAGCAAAAGGGGGGGAGAGGGAAATGTGTGAGTGAGGTCCAGGGAAAGATGAAAGGGATGGGGGGGACAGTCGAGCAGTAGGATGCACTAGCGTCGTCCCAGCCTCTTTTGTGGGAGGGGAAAAGAGCCTGGTGCAGACTGTATTATGCACAAGAACGAGATGGGTATATGTGATGTTTGTAGGAGTGACGTTTGCCAGGGCATTCCTGAAAAACAAGGGAGTGTTCTACCTAACGCAGGCCATGGACGCCAACAAGAGTGCCACCTTCACCGAGAACGCCCTCACGTGAGTCAGTCATGTGATCGTCACATGACAAGCTGCATGTTCTCCCTCTGTATTCAAAACACTCTTGCTCTCACTATTGAGTCAACACTGAAGATGCACAGCCACAATTAAACCGAAAACCCTCAATGAGATGACTTGATCGCCTGGCTCCCCCGAGTCACATGATCGGTCATGTGATCCTCACGTGACCTGTATGTTGCCACAGGATCCTGGGATCACTGATCAAGGTTGACGAGGAAACGGCGGCTCATGTGGTGATGCAGGGAGGACTCCGTGCCGTCTCTACCTGCATGCACACCTTCCCCGGCAACAAACCAGTTAGCCACACCCACTTTACTACAGTGTATCGCACAGCGTATGAAAATGGCAAAAGTGAGTAGTTTTTTGCAATGTTAGCCAAAAAATTGCGTATGACCAATTCTTGGAAGTGTATATACAGTATCTATTGTCGCACCTTTACAACAGGTAAACCATTTATTGAAATTCAGTTTCAGTATAATTATGTGTGCCATCATCGTCATTACTCCATCACTACATCATGTGGGTTTGTAAACCGAAGTATATATCATCGAAAATTGGTATCAGTATACATATGTGTATATTGTACCATCGACTCTGTCACGTGTGTGTTTGTGTGTCTCCGTTCAGATCCAGAGACTGTGTCTGAATGTTCTGGAAGCTCTGTCCAAGGACAGTGATCATGTGACTGTCATGTACCACGTCAATCTCCTCCCGGCCCTCAAGAACGTCCGAGAGAAATATCCCGACGATTTCGACGTGAGATAAATCTTGTTCCCTACCTCCTCTCTTCCTCTCTCTCCCTCTCAAAACACTGAAATGCAGCAAGTGCTCCATAAACCAGCGTCTCTCTCTCTCTCTCTCTCTCTCTTCTCTCTCTCTTCTCTCTCTCTCTCTCTCTCTCTCTCATCTCTCATCTCTCATCTCTCATCTCTCTTGTTCTTCTCCCTCTCTTCCTCCCCTCCCTCTGTCCTCGAGTGCAGTTGACAGATGTTGCGTTTGCAATGAACGAACTAATCGAGGCGAACAAGCTGACGGAAGCCGAGCGGAACCAGAAGATCATTAGGATCATCTTTGCCGGGATGATGGAGATGATGTTGAACTCTGTCGAAGACAGCCGGCGCGCCTGGTCTCCGCTGTTTGTCCCGAAGTTCAGCGCCTTTGTCAAGTACCTGTCGGCAGGCTCAGGTGGGGCAAGGCGGAAGGAAGGAGGAGAGGGGAGAGAGGAGAGAGATGTAGCAGTATCTGAGGTCGTAGATACAGGAGTCAGATGGTGGCCCTACTTCCAGATTACACGTGTTAATGTGTTGCACGCCACTATCGTTTTAAAAGAGTTTTTCTACTTCATATTATCTCCCAAGCTGTAATTTATTTCCTGGTTGCTTCTCTCTGTCATTTGCCAAACTGCCCCCCCCTCACCAGGAGGAGGATTGAGCATGGCCCTGCGGGACAACTGCTGGGAGAAGACTGAGGTCTCCAGCAACAGTCACCGTAGCTCCCGTATCCTTGACAACGATAGCTCCACCTACTGGGAGAGTACCGGACGCAACGGGTCCCACTGGCTGCGGCTCTACATGAAGAGAGGCCTCATTATCAAGTCAGTGAAGTGGATTTTAACTCTCTCTCATCAGAACCCAAATTGTCACCACTTTTCTTGTGTTGTTGATTTTACGTGTAGAACCCCATGGTGTCTTGTATAAGCTGGGTTCCCCCTTGACTGAGGTTCCGGAGGGATGACCCCTGAAATATGCCTTAGACCCCTCGCATTTACACATAAACCCCCAAGGCCCCCCCGATTCACCCCTGAGAATGTTGAATATTATGTAAATTCATGCAATATAGATACGCATAATTATCGGTTTGCATAAAAAAATTATGGTTATGCTGTCCGCACTGGGAGTTTGTACCCTTGCAGGCTACTTTGTTAACCCAACACCTCTTAAATATGTATATTTTCCCAGGGAGGTCTTCTAAAGTTTTGCGTAAGGATAGACCCACAGTATTATATCTCCCTCTCTCCTATAATACACCCAGGAAGCTCTGTATGGACGTGAACCCAAGTGATTCCAGTTACATGCCCCAGCGGATCACGGTGCAGGGGGGCGTGGCAGCCGACCACGTGGAGGACCTGAGCACCGTACGCCCGCCAGTGCTAGCTAGCGCTCTAGTAGCGAGCGACAGACACTACCAGTTTCAATCCTCTGCAGGTGTACATTCCGTCCACGTTCCTTGGGGAGTTTGAGTTGCTGAAAAACTGCAAGAAACACTACCCGGTCATTGTGCTACGCATCAAGAGGAGCCAGCAGGTCAGCCAGTGCCTGACGCACGCACGCACCACACACACACACACACACACACACCGAGTCTAGTGAAATTGAAAGCTTTTGTGAATTTCACAGATTATACGCAAATTGCGGAAAGTACAGTATTTCTTACTTTAGTTTACCGCGCCATCCACACTGGCCAAGTACTGTACATTCATGCAACTTCTTTTACGTGATTCGCGCAGGTTTTTTTACGAAAGTTTTTTAAGTTACGAAAAACAAACACGTTTCATTGAAAGGGAATTGTTGTTGCATTAGAGAGAGTATGTGAATGGCCGGTTTGCAATGTAGCAAGAGTTTGGTTTCGTCAAACCACTGTGTAAGCCATGAAGGTCAGGGTGTCTGTCGCCTTCTCTCTTAGCTCCCTGTCCTTGGCCTGCACTAACTCAGTCTCCTGCAGTCAGGAGGGCCTCGTTACAATGCATTAGTTCCGCACAGACTTGACTAACTCTCTGTCTCAGTTCTTGATTCTGTCTCTTGTGAGGTACATACATACCTACGTACACATTTGAATGGCTGCATGATTACATACATTCTCCTCAGTCGTTAATCTGGTCCCCCAGGGAGGTATAGACGTGAGGGTGAGGAGGATCACGTGCGAGACGACCCGCACATCTCTCTGGTCACTGTTCGGAGACCTCTTCTCTGTGAGGACCAAACTGTTCTACAACATCCAGGTCCAGACGTGGCTGAACGATCCTTCCCTCACCTCCCTCGACGTGTTCGACAGGTCTGTATACTCTTCCTGCCTCCTCACTCTTCACTCATCACTCCTGCCCACATTCTCTCTCCCCCCTCTCAGGATGAACGCGGTGGTGCTACACGAGCAGCTGTTCGCTGACCATTTCTTGATGACGCCAGCTGCCCGCTACTCTCTGGGGCAGTCTCTCCGCGTGGCCCTCATTACACCACTCATCGACAAATTCACCGTCACTCAAGTTGAAGGTAAAGTCTGCAAATTTCCGCCCGGTGTTTGCTCATTGAGGTGTTTGAAGCCGTGCTGCGTAGATATCGAAACTGCAAAGATCCAATCTGCATTGGCCATTATGTTTGAGGAGTTTCATTCTAGAATGGTCCTCACAGAATGAGGTTTTAGCACAGAGTAATCTACAATAGAGCTTTTCCCAACAATTTTACTGGTTTTCTGTTCTACACAGTCACATTTATGTTTATCGACCGTATTTATTTTTGTAAAATTTGACCGTATTGTAAAATTTGATGTTCGTGCTCCGCGTTAACCTCCTCAGGAGGGGAGAAGGGGTCAAGCCTGCCGACTCTGATGAATGACTACGTCTCTCAGATGCAGCCGCCCGTCGCCACCCAGTGGCAGGCGCTGGTTGCCTCGACGACCGTGGAGCAGCTGGAGGCAGACACCTCCGCCTTTGCCAGTCAGAGTTTCGACTTTGTCGGAGGACAAAAGAGGTGGGGGCAGTGTGTGTACATAGTAGGGCAACACGTATTACATGGGTGACAAAATTGCCGATTGCCGATTGCCGAAACCACCACATTTTGTGGTCGTGACTCGGCCATTTTTTATCTCCCCCAGGTTGATACAGATGTCACGTATCAGGAGGATGTGTCGTCTCCTGGTGGACTGCGACATGAACACGCCCACCAGGCGAGCCATGGAACTGGGGATCGAGCCGAACACTGCCGACCTTCGAACCCTCATCGGTCTTGTCGGGGGAGGGGAAAAGGGAGTCGTCCAGGTCAGCCATTATTTTTGTGACTCTGGTATCTCAATTGCCAGAAACTGCTGTTTTATCCATCAGTCATGTTTTCAATGTGGCGTTGAGCAATTGTGTTTTCGGCAAATTTACACGAAACTGTGATTTTGTAACGTTTATGTGCATAGCATCATCTCTCACCTCTCTCCTTCCCTCTCTCTCCCTTCCCCTCCTCCTCCCACCTACCCAGTCTGGAGACAGTATCACAGCCATAGCCTTCTGCTGGCGGGACCTGGTCAAAGCTCGCGTAACCGGTGTGGTAAACCGGTTTGACCAGTACGACTCACCGCAGGCCCTGGCGGCCGACTTGGTCAGCGTCTACGACCAGCTAAAGCAGGCAATGCTGGAGCTGTTTGGCGGGCACTCGACCTTTGCACTCTCGCTGAAGGAGGGTTTTTCGAATGCCTTCAGGAGCCTCAACGAGATGCAGGGACTTAGGGTAAATGAAGGCCTCTCCTCTCTCTCCTTCGTTGATATGTGTATTTCACAAGTAAAATCATTCCTGCGATTTCATCAAAAAAGGGGGGAAATTTTGTAACTAAAAGCCAGTATGTATAGCTTTCTTCAGTTCGGCCCACGTGCAAATTCCCCTGCAATTTTCATTTAAAAACCACAAATTATGTGAGGAAAAATAAGGCTGAGAATCATCGTGGTGTTCAAAACGCCACTCCTGAGTAAAGTTATAGTCTCTCTCCCCTGGCCCTCAGTTCTGCGAGATCCTCTGTCGGTGTATCGACTCCCTAATGAACACCGCCTGTCGGGACGCAGCCCGGTTCCAGTCCGTGGGCGAACACCAACGCGAGGCCATGCTCATGCACTTTGCAGAGCCACTGCAGTTCATCCATAACCTGGACATTGCTCACGTCTTTGAGCACTACTATCGGTACGGTATGGTTTCATGTTTCAAAGAGACCGTACTAGTGTGAGAGTTTTGTACCTTTACCACCCCCCACCCCTCAGAGCGCCACCTTGCGGCCAGACTCCTCCGCGGACGCTCCGTCTCCATGACGCTGGAGAAGCGTCTAGTGCAGACCTTCTCTCACTGCTTCCCCCACAAGTACCCCTGTAAGTCCCTCTGCACAGTGTCCTCTGTCACATTCCGCTGAGCACCTTTTTTTCTTCTCCTTTCGTCTTCTCTCTTATTCTCTTCCCTTTTCCTTTTCTCCTTCCTTCCCTTTTCCTCCCTCCCTTCCCCGTCTCCTCTTTCTCTCCTCCCTTCTCTTCCCTCCCTCTTCACATCCTTTTCCTTCTCCCCCCCTCTCCTCTCCCTCTCCCTCTCTTCCCTTTCTGCCCCCTCTCTCCTCTCCCCTGTGCAGGCAAATGCTGCAGGATCTAGAAGAGTCAGGGTCACTGATGGACAGGTTCTGTGACAGCGAACTGCTCGAGAGCCTCGACCAAATGATCATCCAGACTGCCTCCAGCAACGTCAGTCAAAAACAAACGTGGTGGGAGAGGACGAAATGTGACTTTCTAAAACTTTACACTTGGGGTAGCAGCGCAATTTCTCCGCGTATGCGAAATTACGTATACGCGCAATAATTGCCACGCCCTTCCGCGTAGTCGGTATTTTCTGTGCACCACGTGGCATGCACAGTGTTGAGGAGAGTCAGTGAAGGGAAAGTGGACTCTGTCAGTTATTCAATGCCACAACCAGTAACGTAGATGCACTATTTTCCCTCTCCCCCTCTCCCCCCTCTCTCCATGCAGATGAGCCAGAAGGTCATGGACCTAGCCATGCGCTCCTCGTTCTACCGACAGAGAAGGCTGCAGGTGTCAATCCTAAATGCCTGTTTCTGGCCGCTCCGCCATCACCCCATGCCCTCTCCCTCCTCCCTCCCCAAACCCCTGGACTCCTTCTGTGATGAGTACCAGAAGTTCTTCAATGCTGGTGGGTGGTGTAGTAGATGCTGTGGCGCCACATACACTCTGTATCCGCTCGTAACGTGCGTAGATTTCAACGGACGAGACACCTAGTACGTACTCCAATTGACGCACACTTGTTTTAGTATGCGGAATGGCAGGGGAAACGGTGCACGGGCATTTAGTAAACTTGACGGGAGTTGCCATCGTAGGTTGACGAAATTGTGTTTTGCGTTGCCAAATCTCGCTCGTGCTCTAATCTATGTTTCCCCCTCTCAGCCCATGAGAATGCAGTGAAGCAACACGAGAGAGCGAGAAAGCTCCATTGGACCCTGCATGGGTGGGCGTCGGTCCAATACTCCGGTCTCAACCTCTCTGTCACCACCGTTCAGATGATCGTCCTCCTCTTCTTCAACTCAGCTGAGGTCTGTTCCCATCCTTCGTTCATCTGTCTTTCTCCGTCCCCCTCACTCTCCTGTTTTTTCTCTTCCTTCCTTTACCCACCTCACCCTCTCTCTCTCTCTCTCCTTAACTCTACCAACTATTGCTGAAAGGGAGCTCTTTTCCAAGAAAGACAAAATGCCCCCTGCCATAAGCCATGCTCTCTTCTCTCCCTCTTCTCTTTTCTCTTCAAATACTCACTCGAGTTGCGTTCCCTCCCTACCCCAGACCCTCACGATGAAGACACTCCACGATTCGACCCTCATCGACTACTCTGATCTCTCAGATGCACTCCTCGGACTAACAGCCAAGCGACAGAGCGTCCTTCTCCACACCCACAACCTCGGCTCCGCCCCTCCTCCTTCGGAGCTGCCACCCGGCGACAACGTAGCAACAGCTGACGCCCCTCTGCCCAACACCCACTTCCGACCGAGTAGCGTCTTCACGATAAACGAGGCGTTCCCGATGGAAGTAGGGCGGAGTCAAGAGTCGAACATCGTCCTGTTCCACGAAGTGAAGAAGATCAACAGGAAGAAGGGTCCGAGCCACACCCGGGCGGAACGGATCCTGGACCTGACCCACATCCTGGAACGGAGACGGACCATCATGGATGCCGGGATCATCCGCATCATGAAGAAGGAGAAGGAGATAGCTGTCAACAGCCTTGCTATCAAGGTACATACATGGATCTCCTGCAGTTGGCCTATGCGCATTGCTTCCCATCTTTTTGTATGCTGCTGTACATACTGTATAGCTATACTACCTACATATGTACATACATAATATCACAATGCACGTTACTCTAAAGAAGCATTAGGAAGCATTAGTAAAACACCCAGCTTTTCACGTAGCAGTCCATTTTTTTAATCTTTTATCGTAAGCATAGTTTTTTTTCGTAAACAGCTTTTTTTACATAGCCTGCAAAAAATCCAATGTAACAACTTGTGTATGACACAACAAAGATTGCACGTCTAATTTGTGAACACGTGATATTACTATAGATCATCAAGGCCTGTGGCACCGGTCGATTCAGTGACAGACAGATTGAGTTTGGCAAGTTTGAGGTCGAAGTTCGCGACGTGTGCTCACGAGTGGAGCGACTCATCGGAGACGGATATCTGAAGCGAACCAAGAATAATCCCCAGACCGTGGCCTACGTCCCCGATCCAGACTCACAGCCGGTATGGAACACAGACACACTCATCTTTAAAATATTGGAATGTCCGTCTTAGAAATAGCAGAAGTGGGGGGGAAAGACAGACCAACCAACAACCATCCTGAATACCATGACTTTATCGAGTGTGATAGGTGACTGTAGAATTTGCTGACCTATACTTTTAGCAATCAAGTAGGGTTAAGCACAGGCAAACCAACCATCCTGAATACTTTGACTAAGGCTGGAGTGTGCAGTGAATAAGAGTAGGGTGCAACTTGTCACTGCAGTCGCCCTTATTTCTGTGCATGCACACCGAGCAATAGACAAGAGTTGATTGTACACGAAAATTCAATTTCGGCTGCAGGAAACAGCTGCAAAAGAGGGAGAGGGAGAGGGAGAGGAGGAGAGGGAGAAAGAAGAGACCATGGAGCAAGAGATAGGGGAGGGAGAGGAAGAGGAGAAATCAGTGAGAAAGAGGCCCACATCAGGTGGCGGGTCGCCAGCCGTGAAGAAGAATAAGCGTAGGAAGGAGGAGGGAGCGCAGCTGCTGAAGGCCCTTCTCTCCTCGCCCTCCATGACCGTGGACAAGGTGGAGGAGAAAATGGTCGGCGAACTGGACAGCCTAACTCAGGTGAAGTGGATGGTCTTTAGCTCCTATAGTTCTGAGGAAGAGATCCATTCATAGTGAACGTTGCACTAAACAATTAGTGTAGGAAACAGTGTTCAGTTCTGAAACATCTGCACAGTGGAACCTCCAAACAAGGGACACTATGGGACCAACAATTTTGTCCCTTGTAGAGAAGTTGTCCCTATCTCGGAGGGTCCCTTATCAGAGGTTCCACTGTAAGTAGATTGGAGCTCTAAACTTTTCAATTGCACAAACTTCATGTGTAAAACACAAGTTTGTGGACCCCTCAAATTAGCTCTTTCTGGTGGACCCCCCAGATTCTGCATGTGGAGCGGCCCCTGCTGGAGGCCCTCCTGGTCCACTCTAAATGGAACCACAACCAACTGCTCCGGCAGTACCTCGAGAACAGCACCACCGTCATGAAGGAGGCGGGGCTTGGGGACGGAGACGGTGCCGAGCCGCCGCCCGCCGACTCCCAGGTGACTTGCCCCGCCTGTCTGAAACAGAAGAACGTTGCCGAGAGCATGTGGCTATCCTGCAACCACGTCTGCTGCAAGGTTTGTCCTTCCTCCCACTGCACACAGAGAGAGAAAAGATACTAAAATCTCTCAAATTTTGTCTTCGATTTTGGTGTGATGCATGCCTACTGCAAAAAGATTCGAGTTGATTTGTGAAATTTTTTGTGATGTGAACACTTTTGTAGCTAATTCCCCTCTCTGTGTGTGTGTGTTTGGTACAGACCTGCTGGGAGCGACACCTGAGGACAGAGCTGGAAGCAGGCCACGCCCTCTCCTCCGCCTGCCTAGTTGAGAACTGCCCCGCCCGAACAACTCGGGCCTTCTTTGCCGCCGTTCTCGGAGAGGACAGCGAGGAGTTTAAGAAAGTCGGTGATGCATCTTTGTTCTCAATCAATGTCACTCTGTCCTTTTTCCTTTCGTTCCTCTCTCCTTCATTTCGCTGTTTTTCCCTCTCATTACTTTGTTTCATTTCGTGTTGCACTGTTGTTTCTCACTCTCTTTCTTCACCTTCTCTCTCTTCTCTCCCCTTCCTCCCCCTTGCTTTCTTCTCACTCATCCTCTTTCTTTTTGTCTTCTCTCTCTCCCCTCTCTCCCTCCTCTCTCTCCCTCCTCCCTCCCCTCTCTCCCTCCTCTCTCCCTCCTCTCTCCCTTCGTCTCTCTCCCTCCTCCTCTCCCTTCGTCTCTCTCCCTCCTCCTCTCCCTTCGTCTCTCTCCCTCCTCTCTCCCCTCCTCTCCCTCTCCTCCACACAGTACAACTCTGCAGTCATAGACTCCTATATCGAGTCGAACCCTCAGTTGACCTGGTGCCGAAACCCCGCCCAATGCGACCAGATCCTCTCCAGAGGTGAAGGGGTTAACTCGGGAACCTGCCGCAAGTGTAAATGGTGTTCCTGCTTCCTCTGCAAGTACAAGGAGGTACATACATATTAGCCTGGAACTCAGACATTTTGTGTTAAAATGTATGTAGGGACATGTCTTTATAAAGTCGGAAATAAAATCCAAAAGTGAATCCAGCGCGCTATTTTACACCTACAATCACAACTCTGTGTCAATTAGGCCATTTTCTTGTAGCAGTCGACTCTAAAAGAATAGATATAGCTGGGCTAAAACCATTTCCACTTGTAAAGTGGCGTATGTAGAGAGGGAGCATGAGTAGTGGTCAATTCCTCCAGGGGCACCCCCCAGCGTCCTGCGAGGACATTGAGAAGTGGATCAAAGAGGGAGGTTACCATGACGGCATGGACCAGCAGGCCAAGACGAAGCACCTGAAGACACTGACGGTCAAGAAATGTCCGGCGTGTCAGGCCCAGGTCGAGAAACACGACGGATCTCTCTGGTTAGGGAGTGTGAGCAAAGGGGGTGTTTAAAGAGGTCTCTCAAAATTTTTTTGGGCACAATTTTTGAGAATTTTGCTGGATTTATGCAAGTGCTACAGTAGAGGCATCTGTACACAACATGCAATTTATACCGCATGTGCACGCACATGTGCTACCATTTCTTTTCCAAATGGTGTGGTTTTTTGGCGGAAACGATGGAAATCCAGATTCGCTTATTCAACCAAGAATTGTTGAACAACACAACCTCGAATGCATCACCTCTCCCTCCGCCTTTCCCCCCTCCCTCTTACCTCCCTCCCTCTTACCTCCCTCCCTCTTACCTCTGTGCAGCCAAACCTGCAAGTGTGGCATGAAGTTCTGCTGGAAGTGTGTCAGACCTTGGAAACCACTTCACAGCGACTACAGCAACTGCTCCTTCAAGGTCGGTTCAGTTACACCCTGACAACAATTTAGTGACTGTTCCAATTGGTGTATGGATCGTTGAGAATGCATGTCGATTTTTACTCTTTTTTTTCTGTGATGTTGTCTGTTTCGTCTTATTTTAGAGCACTTGCCTAGATATTGCAACCGTGGATTTTTATTGAGGCTATTAAAACAAGGCATTCTTGGCCTATAGCATTAAAGAATGTGTTGAGGTATATACCCTCTTTAATGTGTAAAGCTTAACCTCAAAAGGGTTTGCAACATGAAGTAATTTAGTCATCTTTTTCTCGTCGATTGTGTAGTTTGGTGCCAATGCTCGTCAGCACAGGAAGTTGAATGACTATAACGAGAGGGTCACCAACTCCTACAAGTCCAGGGTGAGTTGGTGAGAGAGGGAGGGGAGGGAGAGGGAGAGAGGGGAATGTGGATCTGGCAGGCACAGCATGCTGAAAACACTGCGATACAAGCGATAGTGCGAGTACTGCTGCATCTGTGGATCTGTTTTTATAATTATGTGTGCTTGCCCGCCCACTTCCATTTTAACTGTGATTACCTATTAAAGTGGGATGGAAGGAGAGAGTCAGGGTTGAGTAAGAGGATATTTGTAACTTGAGAAAGGTTGAGCTCTAATTTCCGGTTTAACCCCTCCCCTCTCTCTCTGGTTTCGCTGTAGGACTTTGCCATGAGACTGTGTGACATCATGACCAGCATCGGAGAGGCCGTCCCAATGAAGACCCTCAGTTTTGTGAACGACGGCTGTGAACTACTCGTCCAGTGTCACAAGGTCAGGTCACTAATCTTGAAGAGGGTAATTTGTAGGTCCCCACGTGTGTATATACCGAAGCTGAGCATAACAAACTAACTGATAGCTGCAATTTTCTTAAATCGGTCTTCTCTAACACATACTCTTAATCAAATCTTGGCTGCTAGACTTCTGAAAACGAGGCTGTACAAAAACAACTTGGAGCATAATGTGCACACTTGAACATATTATTATTATAGCTAGATGAGACAAGCAACTTGTGTTGCAGAGCTTGCTGGCAGCTCATGCATGAGAACGCATGAATTATGAAATTGTTTCGCAACGTAACCGGATGTACGATGTAGAAGAAGGGGAAAGTGGTAATGTCCCATTCTCCGTGTGCAGATGATGATATGGGCCACCATTGCTGAGTACTACACTCCCCAGGACGGCACTGCCTACCTCACCTTCCTCGTGGATGATCTCGACGCAAACACCACAGCTCTTCAGACCTTCCTCGGTCGGTCTCCCCCTCTCCCCCCTCTCCCCTTGTTAAAAGGAGTTTGTCAGTGCATAAGGGCTAAATTTAGAAATGTTACTAAAGATAGAACGTTTTCTTAGCCCTTATTTAGTGCTGCACCGTACAATGAGCTCCTCATGGATGTTAAAGTACTGTCTATCTTCCCACCTGATAGAGGCAAAGCTGTTCTTTATGGGCTTTTCCATGTAAATTTCCTCGTGAAAGGTCTTCAATGAGTGATGTTCTAGGGAGACTGAGTTTTTGTCAGGCCACTTTTGCGTTACCCCCTTCTCCCCCCCCCCTCTCTCAGAGAATGTCCTATTACGAGGAGAGGACATGGCCACAAGTCTCCGTTCCATCAGGGAGCGAAGACTCCTGCGGAACTACCGTCTCGTCTCCAAGATCGAGAACACCATGAACAAGTTCCTGATTGGATTCCAACACGTAGGCCCCCATTCTCCAATACTGTCATACCCCATGTCTCCATACCCTATGTCCTGTACTGTAATACTCCATGTTTCTGTACTGTCATATCCCCATGCCCCCATACTCTATGTTTCTGTACTGTCATGCCCCCGTGTCTCCATACTGCAGAGTTTCAAACTCGGAGACCCATCAGCTGAGGTTCCTGCTAGTGCCATGGCCAAGTTGAAGTAGGTCTACTACATCAACCATGTATTGTGAGTGTAGCTAACATTTCTCTCTCTCTCTCTCTCTCTCACTCACTCAGTCCAATTTTGCAAGAGGTTGAACCTGTTTACAGTGAGGACGAAACCGAAGATGAGAATGAAGAGGTATAATAATTATTTGCAGCTCAAGAGTAACTAACCATAGTGAGAAAATGGTGTTGAGAACTTTACCAGTATCAGCTTTATAGACCTTTTGCTACTGATTTATGAAAGCATGATCCCTCATATTTTCTCTCATTTCTCTTCTCTTTTCTTTCTACCACTTTCCCCTTGATCGCAGGAGAGACAAGATGACGATAATCTGAGCTGTGTATACAGTGACGACGGGTCTCAGGATCTCCCTAGCGACGTGGAATGGGGTAACGAGTTTGAAGAGGATCTTGGAATGTACTCTTATTTCTGAGACCACACCTTTTTTGGACCAAATTGACTTCCCTAATGACTGCTTTAGAACTACCTGTAGGTTTTTTGCTGCGATTTTCTGCAATGAAAAATGCTTTATGATGAACTTTTCTGATATTAAAAGTCAACAGAATAATAGATTGAATGCCCGTTCGTTGTGTATATTATAATTATACAACCTGGTAATGCACTTGATGCCTAATCATGAGGGATAAGAGAAAATGAAAGAGAGAAGAAAGGAGAAGAGCTATGAAGTGGGAAAGGGAAGCAAGAGGACAGTAGGGGAAGAGAGTAAGTGAGAAATGGGAAAAGGGAAGAGGAGGAATGAGTCAGAGAAATCCACACGGGAAGTCTGCCAGGGAAGAGGGGAGTCGTCAGTTCTTGGAGAAGTCCACGAGGTCGACCAGTTCGTCGAGGACCTGGGAGTGTCTCTGGGCGGTGAAGGTGTGGTGTTCTAGTGACGCCAGCAGCTGGAGGAATCTTCCCATCAGCTCCCTCTTCCTGTACAACGGAACACCAGAGAGAGAGAGAGGAGGTGAAGATACCTTACACCTATATGTCTTGTGTACAATAGAACCTCCAATAAAGGACATTCCGAATAAAAGGAAATTCTCAATAAATGACACAGTTTGAGGTCCATAAACTCCAAAGATAGGACAAAATGCCCGGTCCTATATAGTTAGTCCTACTGGTATACCACCTTGGTGAATACTGCTCTGGGCTGTAGAAGTCATCAACTGTCTTTGGCTGCTTCTCCCCAGCCCTCTCTTCATCTGCTCTTCTCCCTCTGCCGTGGCCTGCTGAAGTGAGTAGAGCCGCCGCTAAAGGACACTCCAAATAAAAAGACCTTGACACACTAAAGAACACTCCAAATACTCTCAATAAGAGACACACTCTGAAACACAAAAAGAGAGGATAAGTTGGATCATAATGCCTGGTCCTAATGTGTCCATTATTCAGAGGTTCTACTAAAAGTCGGTCAAACACTAGTGTTTGACATTAGCTCACGGTGTAACTCCTGGTCACTCTCCTGCACCATCTCTGTCTGTGCAAAACAGAGGTATATACGTATTATACAGTGGCCAGTTAGGACAGGGAATTCCACAGTTGTCTTCCTGCCCACCTTCTTGTCCAGTTCAGGGAGCTTCTTGGGTTTAGTGGCGTTGGCCACTGCCTGTGTGCGTGCCAGGTTATCCACGATCACTGCCACAAATAGACTGAGAGGGAGGAGAAGAGGGAGAGCTACAAATGAGGTTAGCTATATATACCATTAGCTAAAGTACTTTCACAAAATGATTATTTAGGCGAAACCCGATGCCATATCTGCAAAACGTTTTCGCGAGAAGTAAAAGGTTTCAGCATATGAAGAAAAACCATAACAAGAGAAGTAGTAAAGGAGGGTGTAGAAGTCCCACTTGATGAAGATGAAAGTCTCCATAATGGTGAACAGTAACAGGTACACAATGATGTGACCATGCTCTAGAGAGGAGAGAGAGAAAGGGGCAAAGATGATCAATGGTGGGTCCAGACCACACCCCTGGCCCCGCCCACCTGGGTGCTCGTCCCGGACTGTGGAGTACATGAAGAACCAGTCGTCGAGAGTGATCAACTGGAAGAGGGTGAAACAAGCCCGCCCCAGATTACCAAACCGGGCAGGGTCCACCTCACCGTACAGTCCCCTGCCTATGATGGCAAATATGTCTGCACAGCTGTCAAAGTCCCATCCACCAATTGGACAACACAGATAATATAACAGACATCCCGAATTCACAACCAAAGCAAGCCTACCGTGTCTGAATTGATAACACACAGCACTATCACCATACCATTGAAGCCGTTAATATTCTAAGTGGACTTTCACATTCTGTGTTATGTTTCAGCTTTCACTAGGAATCTTGGCAACTCTGAATGGGATTCTCACTCAAAAATATACATGCCATATTCTTCCCAGGGAGGTGTTTATTGATTTTCAATGACACCATCATGATGTCATAGCTAATGAAGGATGATACAGAGGACGAGGGAGATGAGCATGACGATACTGCTGAGGGCAGGGATGGACTGGAGTACAGTCGAAACTATTATCTGAAGATTCTTCAGAAACCTGCAGTACAACATTTTGAAGGTTGCAGATAGATAGAGAGAGAGAGAGAGAGAGAGAGAGGCTCATTCACCTGATTGTTCTGAGAACTCGGAGGGCCCTGAGAGCCCTGATGGCTCTGAACACACGCAGGACCCGGAAGACGCTGGGATCAAAGACACCGATGTTCTGGACAATGAGTGGAATGAGGAAGTCTATCAGACTCGAGGCCACAATGGCTGCATCTGACGGCAGGGGAGGGAGAGAGAGAGTGTGTGTGTGTGTCCACAATCTCTGTGGGTGCATGTGTTGGTGCAAGATTATCAACTAAGCGTGGTGGAATTTTTGTGTAAAAAATGGATTGTTTGCATAATTTTTTTCACATGCGCATGCACCACCTATTTATCTACATACAAAACTCTGAGAGAACAAACCTTCCAGCAATGACAAGTATCTATGTCATTAGTAGAAGAAGGTGGTTATAAAGGCTGATTGTACGTACCGAAGTTGTTCCAGAACTGTTTGAAAAACTTTAGTCTCCAGACGTATATTTTGAGGCTCAGTTCAACGATGTATATGGCCAGGAACACTTGATCCACCAGCATCAGCCACCACTCTATGCAACAATACTTTAGTAGCTATGTATTTTCGAAAAACCTTAGCAGCCAGTTGTTGGGGAAATATCAACACAACACTTCAGTGCAATTTGTTCACACAATAATATATCTGCAGAAAATGCACAGTGAGCTCCATGAGATTCTCCTTCATGCTACTGCTTATCAAAAAAAAACGAAGTGCCTCAAAAAAGTAGTGACTGGAGTGACACTTGCCAGCCTTGGCCACGACGTATTTAGAGGTCTGGACAGCGATGAAGACGGTGTTGAGGATTATGACGGCCAGGATGGAGAAGCTGAACCAGCGGGACTCCACCAGGTCGAAGGCGAACCGGCGAAACCGGCTCCCGCTCGCAGCTATCAGCTCCCTCTCTTCTTCCCTGCAGCATCAACGTATTTGCGTGAATGAGAGAAGGGACCTTATTCTGTGAATCGGTTCGTTGTCTGAAAGAAAAATTCAAAGACTAGCTAAAGAACAGCTGCATGTTCACGACACGAAGGTTCACTGCTGCACCTCAGCTCTTCATCGTCTTCTCCCTCCATGAGAGGGCCGCTGGCAATACGAGGGGCTCCTTCGGGCGCACCCCTCTTCCTCTTGTCCTCGCCATCGATCGCCTCTTCCTCGCTCTCGCTCTCGCTGCTCGTACTCTCCTCCGAAGACATCAGAGATGCAGCTGACGGTTCCGTGCTCGCTTGCGCGACTGCAATACGCATGCGCATTAGCAACACATACGAACGGACGTTACAAGTCGCCAGTCGGTTGAAGATCCATATCTTCTGTCAAAAGGGGTCCTTATATCCCTCCCACTAGTGGTTTGTTTCTCGTAATTGTCGCCATGAACCGTCTTGCTAACCATGGTATAAATTTGGATGTGTGCGAATCAGAGTTAGAGAGACAACTCCTGGTGCACTCTACTTGACTCTTTGACTACCATGGACCCCACCTTCTTCAGTCATGTGTTATGCTTCCTACATGTTTTTTAACTTGTCTGTATACATGTCATGCCCGGGCGGGCCATTCAAACATGAACTTTGAACATAATCTAGTATGTTTGTGTGGTGTGTATAATGATGAGATTCAGTCAATCTGTGGGTTGTTCTTGAAGAGATATTCAGCCTGAATGGAGGAAAAAACACAATATTCACCACTGCATTGGTAGCCTACACTTCTATATAGAGCCAGTAGCAGCATACCAGGTAGTCCACAGGGTCGTCAGGCTTGGCCTTGCAGACCTCGATGAGACCCTGAGTGACAGTCGGGAGGACGTGCCTCATGAGGTAGTTGCGAAGTGGGAGACTCTTTGCCTCCAGCATCTCTCGCTCCTCGGCCTGTACCAACTCCAACTGGGCTTGCTGGGAGAAGTAGACAGTGGGAGAAGAGTTAAAATTGGCGTCGGTTGGTGTGACTGACAACTGACCCATTCTGCCTCTCTCTTGGCTCTCTGGGCTTTTTCCTCTGCTTCATTCCTCTCCCTATCCTCCTTCTCTCCCCTCTCCCTCCTCATCTGCCACACAGACAAAAATCATTATTAGTTGAGTTTATGATTATGAGCCAATCAACTGACCCTCTCCTCCCTCGCAGCTTGCTCCATTTCCGCCCTCTCTTCGGGGGTAGGCCCTGCACAACGAGGTGTAAATGAGGTAAGTGTGTGATGGAGACAAGGTTGGAGGTAACCACCATAGTTCCGAGGCTCTCCGACCATCTGTTTTATTTTCTCCACGGTATCTTGGCACTCTGGGCTCTGGTCCTCCTCAATATCTGCACAATAGAAGTGTATAGGGAGTTAGGGGAGCAGTGAAGAGGGAGGTGTACATCTTCTCACTAGTGTGCTCGGGGTGAATCTCCTTCTCGTCAAAGTAGTTCAAGACTGTCGTATCTTCTTCGTTGAGGGAGCGAAACTCTGCCAGTCTTCGAGTCATACCTATATACATACAGAGCAACACTCAGTCCCTCGGTGTATATAATATACGTGGTAGTACACATCAAGTAGAAATGGAAAACCTTACATGTACACTAACACCAACATTAGTGCGTAAAAGGTTGACTTGCTGCAGTTTGCATCAGGTTCCATTTGGACAGGACACATCCACATACAGAGAGGACAATGGCAAATTGCAAGCACACACCTTCCTCGGTGTAGTGGGTCCCAGCGACAGTCTTCTCAGGGAGGTTCATCACCCTCTGCCTCAGGAACTCATCACTAGCATCCAGTGAGAACACCATCTCTGCAGTAATTGTTGACAAGGGAGAGAGACTCTTCAGGAGCTGCGTCATTGTCCAGTTAAAAGAAATTTTCATGGGCATTCTCAGATATTCGTTTTGCAACTACGCTAGGAAGGCTACCGCTCTCACCACTTGCATGCCTCGCGTAACAATTTTCACGTTTTAGTAAAAAAACAGACACATAAAAAATTGTAGGTTTATACCTGGCATTGTGAGTTTGTTGTACTTAGGTTGATTTTGATCATCTTCTTCTGCCCCCTCTTCCTCCTCTTCCTCCTCACCTCCTGGAAATATAGTGAGTGAGACAATAGGTCAAAAAGTGACCATGTCAGAAACACCCACCCACCATCGAAAAGTGTCTTGGCTTGTTCAAACGTCTTCGGGAAGCCATCCAGAATGAAGCCCTGGTTCTGGCACGGCATGGAGAGTAGCGTTTTCGAGTAAAACTCCAGCAAATACTGCTCGCCGTAGCGCCCTGCATTAGACATTTTCTCAACTCCTTTATCCACTTCCCTCTCACCCCTATCTTGCTCCCCCTCCTCCCCCTCTCCCCCCTCTTTCTTTTCCCTCTTTACTTTATCTTTCTCCACTTCTCCAACCTTTCTTTCATTCTACTTATCCCTATCCCACTCTCAACCCTTATCTTCCTTTCTCACCACTGTTCTCTTCTCTTTCAGTTTTGAGAGTCTCCAGCATTTCCTTGGCATCCTGGGCTGCCGAATCATCCTCTTCCTCCTCTTCCTCGTCCCCTCCTTCTCCAACATCCACTCGGGCAGCAATCTTCTCCTGCAGTGGATGGAGACAGGGTATAGAGTAATGTGAAAACCCTCATGTTCAGTCCACCCTAAAACATTTAGTTGTGGGAGGCTGTGTCCTAATATTACAGCCATGAAATCTTCGTCTAGTCTACATTAAGGCAGCTATGTAACTTGTTCAAAATAGCTAAATTATGCAGGGTTATGTTTAGCCAGCCTGTCCTAAGGTTCAACTAAATTCCCGTTATGTTACAGTGTAAAGTAAGAGAGGGAAGGGAGGAAAGAGGGGTGTGGCACACCAGTCTCTCCACTGAGTCCTGGATGACTTTGGCGATAGTCAGGTGATGGAGCTTGTAGTACTCGCAGAGTTTTTTAACGACCAGGGACTTCCCCACTGCCGGTGGACCCAGGACACACAGACGTAGTGGCTGGAGAGACACAACAGTAGAACGTGGGTACATTGAGAGTCAGTGTTGGTTGGACTGTCGGCTCACGAGGAGTCCGCGTGTCTGTTTGTACTCTCTCACGACTGCAGATATCTCTTCCACCAGTCCAGCCTGTAGACACACGTGTCACATTCTGTTGCTATTCGACCAGTGAGGCTACAGCTCTGTATGTACTGGTCTGTTAGCAGATCACGGTTGGAGGCATCTCTATTATACAGAATTTGGCAGATGCACACAAAAATGGTTTATCTCCAGACTACACTCCCTGGACAATTGGGACACACGCTTTTTGCTTCAGAAAGAAGCAAAAAGCGGCTGAAAATTGAGTGAAGGGGACAGGCTCTTCCACTACTTATGGTTAGTACTGTATCCAGAGCCTCTATAGGACTGTAGTTAGTGCTACACGTGTGTATATACCTCTGCCTTCCAGCGTATGTTGAAGCTGTCTTTGACGGTAGAGGCCTCCATCTGGAGGTTGACCAGTAGCTGGTCATACTCCCATTGCTGTGGTGATATTTACAGTATATCGGCTGACGTGTGCTGATTTGGGGGCTTACTCACACGGAGGTCTCTAACGAGCAGAGCTTCCTCTCTGGAGATGAATGTTGTCCTCCCGGTGGAGAGGTGTCTGCTGATGGCGGTCACCACCTCTCTCAGGGTGTTCTTAGAGTCGTCCACTGCTATTAGGTAGCGCGGCTTGCTCGGTCGCGAGTCTGCCAGGTTCACCACCACACTGCACATAATAATGACAGTCTGTGGGGCTCATTATACCACTACTACGATACAGCATGTGGGGCTCATTATACCACTATACTACGATACAGCATGTGGGGCTCATTATACCACTATACTACGATACAGCATGTGGGGCTCATTATACCACTATACTACGATACAGCATGTGGGGCTCATTATACCACTATACTACGATACAGCATGTGGGGCTCATTATACCACTATACTACGATACAGCATGTGGGGCTCATTATACCACTATACTACGATACAGCATGTGGGGCTCGTTACTACAGTGGAACCCCTCTAATCCTGACACAATTGGGACCGACCGAATAAAGTGTCCATATTAGTGAGGTGTTTGTTTTTCAGGGGCTAACATGAGCTATTCTTGAAAGGAAAGAATGGGGGCGTTCCCACTTCATAGGTGTCCTTAGAGAGGGGTTCCACTATACAGAGCACTGTGTGTGCTAAGTAGGAGGTATCTAATTATTGAAGCCTCAAAGTATCAGAACGGTTCCTTAGACAGACTCGGTAATTATGATCTAAGAATTCTGTTTGTATTTTGCTCCCACATCCATTCCATTTCTACCCTTGTACAACCTACTGCTGAACCACCCAGTACCTCGCCAGGTCATGGATATGGATGGTGGGTAGAACGTTTGTTCCATCTCCAAACACGGGGAGGGCCGGTGTGTCCCCATGCCATGCGGACTGGAATGAAGCCACACACACACCACAGAGATGACATCATACAATAGTGTACCAGTAATCTACGTAGTGTAGCTGACCTTGAATAGAAAGTGGAAGAGGCCCTCCCCAGCCCCATACAGGAGACCAGCAGCCACGACGTAACTAGTCAACTTGGTCCTGTCCTGAAAGGAAAACAGTGGAACCCCTCTCATAATAGACACTCAAAATGAGGCAAGACTCTCAGATTTGTTCTGATCTATACCGGACAATGTATTAATTAACCCTTGAATAAGGATACCTCAACAATTATCATGTCCCCAGCCTGTCCTAAGGTTCAACTGTGGTGTCATTGTATATACCCAGACAAAGGAAGCTATAGAGTAAACATGTGGTCTAGGGATTTTTTTGGGGAATTGAAGGCTAGAGTAAGTCAGGTTACTGTTTTTCCAAGTTTGATGGTCAGCTTCTCTGCCGAAATGTGCTCCTTGAAGTTGGGGTGTGGTCTCCTGCGACGGTAGTCCTCCTCAGTGAACGCTATATCAGGCTCCTCCTGTGAGAGAACATGTGGTACACCTTACCGTATATATAGCAGGAATATTTCTTGATTCAGTGGCAAGTGAGAATTTCGCAGAGAAAATGTTACCGGGATGGCTAGTTTGCAACAGTCCAAAATAATGTCTCAGTCCACAGAGCAGATAAAATTGTTAAGGTTGGCTTCGATTTCGGACACAGTTTCAAAATGTGATGTGTTGCTCCATTACAAAAGCAAAAGCGTTTAGAATGACAAAGAGGAGAAAGTAAAGGCAGGAAACGGGGCCATACCGGGTCGAGTGGCTTGCTGCGTGCCCAGGTGAGGACGGAGGAGACACAGACAAACACCTTCTGAGACGAGATGACTGACAGCTGGTCGTGAAGAACTGGGGAAGTGAAACATAGTGTGGGGGATATTCGGTATTGTCAGGTGTAGTGCTCACCCTGAATGGCCCACGAAGCTTCCTCCACTTGACCAGCACCATCGACGATATGGTAGACTATGATGTCACACGACATCAGGACCGCCAGCAACTCATCTCTACTGGATGTCTGCTGGAGCATTATTACAGAGGTGTTAGGAATTGTGTGTGTTGCTGGTTTACCTGTACTATTTCCTGAACCCAGCCAGGGCACTCTGCATCTTCTTCCCTCACAGTACCCACCACCTGGTACCTATATAATAGAGAGATGCATGCATTCACATTATACCCCTACAGATCCCTTGTACACAAAGTTGCACACACCTATTTGAGGAGTCATCTGCCTGGTCTGAGGCTGGAGGTGGTTTTGAGTCAGCCTCATCCCCATTCTCTTTCTCCTCAGCTATTGCCCCCACCACCGACCCAGCCAGCACCTGCAATGAATATATAGTCAGTACAGACTCATACAATGACAAAACCTCTGGAACAGCTCATTTACTTTGCTGAGCTCCCGTCCCGTGTAGGAATCTACGTGGTTCACGAACACTCGAACCATGATCTTTTTTGCAGTGTTTCTGCAGAACTGGTTTCCGTGACAACGAGCCCGCGTGACTGTCACGTGATAAAAACAAACGTATATACGTCTTGCGCATATCAACACACACACCTCCCTTTCTCCTGTTCTTCGGGTTGGCCGAAAAGGAGCACAGGAAGTCCGTGCAGGCCTCGGCGGTAGGAGGGCGTACGAGTGGTGAGTTATTGTTTTGTGACGGGACACTACATATATCCTCAATACCGCGTCTACCTCGGAATGCTTTGCATGCACAGTACAGTGAGTGCAGTTAGATGCCAGTGGGATCGCGCGATTCTCTAGTTGCGGTCTTGTAGTCTCCGGTGACTGAGCTTATCTCCACCAACCACTGCGCCGAGCCCGGCCCCTATTGCGGCGTAGTGGCTGACTTGGTAACTAATCAGCCGAAATTAGTGGGAGTTCGGAGTTGAGTGTGTGGCGTGCAGTTCAAGATGCCGACGCGGAAGCAGTGAGACGTGCGACACTGACAGTGAAACTACGACTTGCGTACTTTCAACGCTTCAGAAACTACCAGTGTATACTACCAGTGTATACTACTCGAAGAACACCGAAAAGCAACGCCCCTATTACCCTGGGAAGGGTTTAGCAAAGATAGAAGGAGTCCCCTAGCTAGCTACACGTACAGTAGAGCCATGAATAACCACCGAGTAAGGACTTCGAGTGGGGTCACCCAGCTGTTTATGCGCAGGACAAAGACGGTGGTAATGTCGCTGCAGACCATTAAGGAGGGCCACCTCTACAAGAGAGGGAAGATCAACACCGAGTGGAGAATGAGGACGTTTGTGCTCAACGGGAAGCAGCTGGCCTACTTCAAGGGAGGGGTGAGTGAGTGCCGAGGGGCGAATGGCTGTTTTCCCTCCTCTCTTTCTCTCCCTCTCCTCCTCCTCGCATATTATTATGTGGTGTGTGGTACAGTTTTAAAAGGTCGATGCATTGCACACTGTTTTCTCGCACACTTCATGGGTACACATTGGCAAGACATTACAATAGCGTGTGTACTAGCATATTCGTAGAGGTTGCACAATCACGCTGGTTGTTTGTTGCTGTTTTTGACAAAAGTGAAAGTGGCAACTCTGACACAAACAACCACCTGTGGGATTTGGAGAGATGCGAAACTTCGAGAAAACTCATGCACTCATAGAATCAGGACACCTCACTCTTCAGGACACTTCACTAATCAAGACACCTCACTCATAAACTGCCGTATTCAGATATTTACAGATCAGGACACCCCCACCGATGAGGAAACCTGAAAACGTAGTGCACGCCAAGAGTTAGAACACACCAATCACTGCAGTGGTACTTTACACTATTGTACACACCAGGCAACCTTGTTATCCAACTTACAAACCCATTACCAAAAAAGAATGTATACTAAAGATAGCCAACATCACTCCACTCTCTGTACCTAAATCCTTCCCATTTATGGCCTGCACATCTTTGCATGTATGGAGTAATTTCCCTGCTAGTTTATGCACACCTGAGCTCGTGCATGAAGGATGTTTGTGTAACGGTTTCCTACTCCTAATACGACTGCTTGCTCATTCCATATACAAACCACAGCAGAAGCATTCCCATCATGACTTCATTGTGTACACATTGATATTCTCCTGTTTACTCCATACACAAAGACATATTATGTTGTCTTTGAGCTGTGGGTATAGAGGTGTGTAGGGGTGTATGGGGTCAGGTGCCTCATATGCCTCTTTGAGCTGTGGATATAGAGGTGTAGGGGTGTATGGGGTCAGGTGCCTCATATGCCTCTTTGAGCTGTGGGTATAGAGGTGTAGGGGTGTATGGGGTCAGGTGCCTCATATGCCTCTTCATTTCACGCTACATAGGTTCCTGTGTATGTTTACTTGAGTATGGGTGGGTAGGAGAGAGGGAGGGAAGGAAATAGAGAAGAGGGGATAGAGAGGAAGGGAGGGAAGGGTGAGGAACCTTTGTTGCATGTGTCTTTGTTATAACAGAGACACATGCTAACCTACTTAACTTATGTGTGTTACATATGGACGTACCAGTTACTGGGATAGTCTATGTATGTACAGTATGTGTGTACAAATAGCCATGTGGAAGCATTCACGGTCAGAAAGGAATGGGTGTGTACGAGTTGGGCATTGTGCCAAACAGAGATAGCTAAATGAGCTCCTTTGTGCGCCAACACCGAACTGAAAGGCTTTTGACGACAACATAAGGAGTGCTTTCGCAACAATCGGGAGTTAAAGTGAAAACCGTATAAGTCTACGAGGCGCATGGGAGTATACATACTGTGTGTATTCAGACTGTTTGGTTTGCTGTGTCGCAGTCTACACTGTGTGTGTGTAACTAACCTGTCACTCTGCCAGTATACGTATATACATGGACAAAGTTGTAGATTTATACTTTCTGTGAGCACGTTTTGGAGGGAAATGTCTATGCTAGCTAGCTGTGTATATGCAGGTGCTGCTTACCAATAGTGGGTTGTTGTTAGTTGCAGAATGCACACGTGTGTAGCTTGTCCTTCTACAGGTGTGCATCTGCTTTTCCCTGTCCTCACACATTCTCTAGAGAGAGATGGGGGATGAATAAGTATTCTATGTTTATGAGTTGGAAGTTGCATCAAAGCCTCTGTTTTTCTTACAGAAGCACTCTCCGTCAGGGATCATAGAGTTAAAGGACGTAAGAAGAGTCACAGACCTCAATGGAGATGGTGTATTCCGAGTACGTCGTGTAACACACACACACACACACACACACACACACTAAGACTACAGTGGCACTTTGAAAAAGGACCCTCCGAATAAAGGGCACTTGGTTCGATGTATTGTGTATTACCTTTGAATAAGGAACGCCTCTGAAGAAAGTACACTTTGAAGAAAGTATATACACTTTTGGATGTTTGAAAGGTGGTCTTTAATTAGAGGTTTCACTGTGCCATGTGTGGTGTATGTACATAAACCTCTCCCCCCATATAATCTGCAGGTAGAGACTCCATTCAGAACATACGATATCAAAGGAGGTGAGGACACCTTCCTGTTGTGCTTTTACAGACAGCTCAATCTTTCTCCTTCTCTCTCTCCTCCCACCCCTCTTTCCTCTCCCACCCTCTCTCTCCTCTCCTCCAGAGACAATTGAAGAGGCTCAGGGATGGATAAAGGCGGTCAGAGAGGCACTAACTGTGTTAGAGTCCCAACCATAGCCCCCCCCCTCACTACATATTTATACCCTCACTCCCATCATTAGTCCCCGTATTGATAGACATCAGTCCTATCCATCAATGCATGTATGTGCTGCGTATGTGTCACTGACTGTATGTGTGTACGATGTACGATGTGTGTCTCATGTGTTTGCTCCATACCCACTTCAGCACTTCTTTTCTAAAACATGCGTGTTTTCCAATTAATGTACGTTTTCCCATCACCGAAACTTTGTTCAGTCTCTTGTTTTTTTTAATGTTTTGTATCATTAAATTTGTCTGTCTCATGACCTCTCTTACGCTGGAAGCAGTAGAAAAAAGATTTGGAAAGTAATGATCAAAAATACAACTCAGTAATTTATGCGAATGAATAGATGATACCTGAAGAAGTATATACGTACATGGAATAAAGCAGGACACACCGCACCACTAGAGTGTTAGATGTGCCACTGCTGTGACAAAAAATGTGGTTTTTAGAAAAACTGACCAAAATGAAAAAGGAAAGATTTGCCACAAAACAGGGGAAAGAAGGGAACGATGAAATGATGCTGCACAAAAAAAGAAATGAAATGACGTCACATGATACTGCAATTGTTTCTGCTGCTATTTCTCCCTCTGTGGTTACCGTGACGACTGGAGTGGTTGGCATGGTGACGGAGGACGTGTTGGGACTGGGAGTACCCCGGAAATCCCCCTCTCCCTGATGACGATGAGGTCGCCCACTCTGTGCACCACATTTCCCGTATCTCCAGCTGCTTCCCGGACCGCCCACCCAGGAAGCTCCACCCCCTCCCCCTCTGCCGTCGATTGCTCTTCCCTCCCCCGGGAGCTCCGCCCCCAGACTCGGCGGCGTGCTGGTCCAGCATGCTCTGATAAGCCTCGTCGTGTTCCTTCTTCAGCCGTGCCTGTATTGTCTGGAAGGAGTCGTTGAGGCTGCGGGCACACTCGGGACTGCAGGCAAAGTGCTCGAAAGGGGACATGTCGGAGACCGAGGTAGCTCTCCACAAGCCATCTGATCCGGAACCCTGGGACCATGGGAATGAAACATGCGATACAAGTACAATGTCAACTGGAGCAGGAGACAGGTGTGCCTAATTGTGTTAAAAGGGAGGGTGTATAAAGGTGTTAGAGGGAGGGTGTGTCTAATAGCATATTATGGCACTTCCGACTGTGCAACTAGCTTCGCTCACCAAATAAAGGCACTATATACTAAAGAAGAATGGGTTGGATGGGGAGTGTTATTGAGTGAAGTTAGAAAGAGGAGGAGGAAGAAAGGGGTGACTAAGAGGTGAAAATTGACACCCCGACAAAGCCATGTTGGATAAGTCGACACCTCCCAACACCCCCCCTACCAACATTACTATACTCCCTCACTGGCCTAGTCTGTGGCAGTGGCACATCACGTTAGACATTACTATACTCCCTCACTGGCCTAGTCTGTGGCAGTGGCACATCACGTTAGACACGCATGCATATGTACTGTACACTCAGAAAATGGTACATATTCACCGTGTTGCCAATAAAAAGGGCAAGAAATGGGCCTTGCGTACATTAGCCCACCGGAAGGCTCAAAACATAACCACAGAGGCTTCAAAGACACGTCAAAGTGAGTTCACACTGACCTCTAGGCACTATAGCCAGCTTATTCTGTGAACATGACAAAAATGACTATTGGGACTCCTGCTTACTTCCCAGCACTAGGGTGTTTCAGAGAAACCCAGTCAGACGTTGGCAGCGGCAGGAATGAAACTTCGAATAAAGGGTTACTTCTATAGAAAAGGTTTGCCCCTACTTTTTTCTTTACTATTACTGTATATAGGGGTATGCCTCTTTTTTAAATTCGCAGGATTTTTACACATTGTAATTCATGTACATACACCTCTGAAAAAGGGACCCCCCAAAAGTGTAAAGAAAGGGAAGTTTTTGTTCCCAAGGTGTCCCATGTCCACAGGTTTCACTTTACTACTCACACCACTTCAAACACCCAGGGACATTGAACAACAGCTCGTGTGACTCTTACCGGTCACGTCCAGTGGTTGAGCAGAGCAGCAGTTGTCACATATCTTGTACTCAGTTTGAGAGATGTCCAGCACGCGGCACAGTGCAGGCGCCACCTCCCTATTGGCCCAGTAGTCCAGTCTCTCAGTCATGACAGCTCGCACCGCCAGCAACTTTAGAGGGACCACGCGCCGTTGTCTAACGCAGCTCGATAGCAGGGGCATCCTCTCCTGTACGACCGTCACGTAGCGCTCGCGACGAGTCGACGCCGAGAGCTCGGCGATGACCCCGCGCATGTCGTAATTGCCGTGGCGACGGAGGAGTGAGAGGGACTCGATGCGGAAGATGACGGCAGGGAGTATGGAGAAGTTGTTGTTCTGGAGGTCGAGGGTGGAGAGAGAGGAGCAGAAGGAGAGGGTGGATGGGAGGGTGGTGAGGGCGTTGCCCGAGAGAAGGAGGGTGGTGAGTTGTTTGAGTCTCCCCACTGAGGCAGGGAGGTAGGGGAGCTGTGTGTTGGTCAGGTTGAGGACTGCCAGGTTGGGCACCGCCCAGAACTGGGGGTGGAGAGAGAGAGTGTGTGTGTGCGCGTGTGGATGAGGAAGAGAGGAAACATAAAGTGGTTACTACTACCAGGAACAGTTGTTAAGGGAGAAAATTAATGTTTCCCTGTTTCGTGGAATACACTCCTGAACTGCTCTTACACCAACTTTTATCGCTCTTCACTAATTTCCCCCCCAGTTCTCCATGGTGTGGTCTGTGCTCCTATATATTACCTGCAGTTCATCGCAGAGCTCAACGAGATGACAACCCTTCAGATCAAGCTCCGTCAGCTGAGGACATTGGATACACTCCCACAGCATTCCTGCAGCTATACAATAACACACGCATAATAAAGACCATCACTCCTAATAATGACGTAATACTGGAGACTCATGATAATAGTGTAGCAGAACGAATCCAACACATTTGGTGAGCAGTAATGGTCGCAATTAACGGCATGGGTGAATGCTTCAAGAGATGATTGCATTTCTATCGCCAATTTGAAAAATGAAAAATATTTGGTGGTATGTCGCGACAGAGATACTATATAGTATATAATCCATGCAGGAAACATAGAAAGCTAGACATAACACAATGCACTATAGTTACTCTATGTACTATAGTTACTACTGCAAAACATTCCGTAGGGATTGAAGATAGACATAACATAGACCAGTGATCATCAGTCTACCAGGCATGAGATCGGGAGCGAGACTCACGGAATAATTAATCTGAGGTAATCCAGTGATCATCAGTCTACCAGGCATGAGATCGGGAGCGAGACTCACGGAATAATTAATCTGAGGTAATCCAGTGAAGAAAGCTGTCCGTGTCGGCGCTTACATTACTATAGACAAGTGATTATTTAATCTTGTGTCAATTAGCAAGGAGACGGTGGTAAGTGGATTCACAAGTAGCCAACCACAACCACTGTCTGGACAGAGGGCAAAGGTCCCCAGATCACACGTACATACCACAGGCAGCTCGCATTCCCCCAAACTGCCCGAGGCACACACAATCAAACACTTATCATACATACCAGGTTCACATGCATTCTGAGAAATTGTCACGACTTTGTAATTTCCCAGATTGCTTGTCCGGAACATAATGATCTAAGCCCACACAATTTCAGTGGAAATGTCTATTTTCCAATTCACAAACGTCTCCCATTTAGTTAGACAGCGATTCCTTGAAATCTATGCACGTTAGAACCCCGAGGTCCCTTGCTTGTAGCATTCCGAGTGCAGCGAGGATGATATGTGAAGGGCCCGAGGGCTTAACGTGCTTAGATTTCAACGAACGAGATGCCGTAGAGAGAGAGAGAGAGAGAGAGAGAGACTTACGATCTGGTACACTCTCCACTTGTCTCACTGCCAGCCTCTTGAGCTGAGTCAGCTCTTCTCCCCTGAAATTGTCCTCCAGAAACTCACTGAGAAAGTCGTACTGTGATTGGGGGAGAGGGAGAAGGAGAAGGGGGGGGGGTATGAGAACATAGCACCCCAATGTGGTAGGATAGTTTACAGAAGTCAAAAGTAAGAGGTGGTTGTGTATTATACCCAGTCAAAACTCTCTCTCTCTCTTTGTGCTTTATTTTCACAAAGTCCTTGTGATACATATACAATGCCCGTGTCAACAACAATTGTGCACTTATCGGCCAAAAGAAACCAAGATTCCCCGGTATAATCTAGTGCAGTCCTACGCCACTTGGCTTTTGAAGCTCTCCTACTTATAACAGCATTAGGATATAGCATTAGAGGGGGACTTAAAGCAACTGGCAATACAAGGTATATACATGAGAGGGTGGACTAATGGTATAAGGTATGAGAGAGGGGGGACTATAACAAGGCAATGTAACTACTCTATTACAGCTGTACAGCGGAGAGCTCACGTTGTCTTGGTTGAAAGACTCGATGTGTTCGGTGGCAAACAGTCCCTTCTTCCCCCGCAGTTCACCCGGCCACCACATCCCCCGGCTCCACATGTCCTCCGCACTCACCAGCACACGAATCACGTCTCCCTCAGTGAAACTCAGCTCCTGGTTGAACCTGGCACTCACACTCCTCTTTGCTCGCACCTGCAGGGAACAGCCAGTGCTCTAGCTACTCTCTCCCCTCTCCCCTCTCCCCTCTTCTCTCTACCAATCTTCATATCTGTCCACTCTCTCTCGATGTTTGTTACTAGTAGTAAGTAGTAAGCAAAGTTACAAGTGCTTCCCACCTATACAACCACAATGTACCTTTCGATTTTTCCCGTAACTTTCCGCCCGCACTCATGTTCGAGACTATACTAGCATCGACAGATCTTTAGCTATGTACATGTCTACCCAACCCAGTTCTCTCTCCCGATTTACGTACGTAAGTATTCCAGTCGTCGTCGTCTCGAGAGCTGCTGTTGTTAAAGCGACAGGAGCCAGGGAAGTGGAGGAGGAGCCCTCTCGTTGTCGCCAGCAGCTCTCTCATGGCCTTCTCCCTGGCCCAATCTCTCTCCTTCTTCCTCTGGCCTCCGCCATTTCCCCGTCTCCGGCTTTGTTCGTGGTGTCCAGCGAGTCTGTCGCCACGCAGGGATCCATCGCTCGAAGAGCCAGCTAGTGGCCAGGTCTACGTACGTGGTGCGGGACACTCAAGTCAGTCCGACGTCTGGTCTAGTCTGGGGTGTGGGTGGGTGGAGTAATCAAATTGTCTACCCCCGCCCATTACTCTTTTGGGTCTACTGCGCATGCGTATACGCGAGCGTTGCCGCGCAGGTAGGTGCTAGCTGCAAAGCCACTGAAGTGCAGCAGACGTATATATATATATACGCAGGTCCACTTTTTGATTTCAAACTGCAAGAGGAGACCTATTCCAAGCCCCTCGCCTAGCATAAGGCGCCGTGGGCACTGAGCCAAGAGACACACTTTGGCCCCTGTCTAACGCGGACGTAGGACCCTTTCGCACTTCGTACACCGCATATTAGCAGTTCCTGTGTTGCGGTCTGGGCCCTTCCTCTCGCAGTCGCACTCGACGGGCCAAGGGCTCACTTACGAAGAGAGCGAGGTGTGGTTTCTCCGAACACGCTGCCACGCCGCCAATAAATAGCGCCTGTGTGCGGGCCAGTCGCGTAGTCGCGGAATTCCGTACGAGAGCTTGTGCAGTTTTTAAACATTGATCTGATCTACCCTCTTGGTGTATGTAGCTGAAGAGGTTGCTGTATAGATTGCAATGGAGAGATACCTGTTAGTGAGTGCATTTCTCTGGTGTCTGGCGGAGGTCCAGTCTCAGACATCGTATCCCTACGTGAGCTTCCTTGGAGAGACTCTACCCAACCATGCCTATGTGGACCTCAGTCTAGTGGGGAATCAATCAAGACGGGCAGTGGCCAGTGTGTCAGTGTCACACTAATGTGGAGACATGCTGCAGAAGCGAGGACGGCAATAGCACCGAGGGACCTCATCGTGGAGACTGGTTCTCTCCAACAAGCACAAGGCCTCCCTTCCCTTCCCCAGGGAACATTGTCGTCGAAGATCGAGAGGCACAAGAGCGGATATTTACGAACAAGGAAACGCCAACCATCTCCGACTGGTCTCTTTCGCCTGTACAATTGATGTCAGGGAGTTGAGGAGAAGAAGGTCAGTGACAAAAAAATCTATTTATGTGGGACTCTACAGTATTGCAGTGGTAAGTGATGATCCTGATATGTTGGCATGGATGTCTCGATTAGCGACTGGTTATGTCACACAGAATGTACAATGCGGGAGACATTTCATCTGGCTGTGCTCTCTGATCTCAAGTACCAAGTCCTCAGTTCTCCCTCACCTGCAACTCACTGGGTACTGCTACCACTGTCACTGGACGAGAGAGACGACGTCACCTTACGACGATAGGACTGAAACGTGTTGATCCGACCCGGTGCGTGGTAACGCTCAGTACACCACACCTGACAGTCTCTGGGAGACCGAAGGACTCTACACGTGCACACGTCTCCACGTGTAAACCATCACAGGATTCAGTGCGCTAAAAATGTGATGGTAAACATCAACAAATACAACTTCACACGGGGGACTATTCTCGTTCTGCTCTTAGCTCTTGGCCAGGTGTTCCTGAGGAATTGAGGCCGGAGGAGGCAAGAGACACGTTGTCTTACCCTTGAGGGGCTAGGAAGGAATGACGGACACGATTAGAAGAAAAAACGAAAAGGAAGGGTAGGGAAGAGCAAAAAAGGATGACGGAGAGGCACAAAGAGAAGGGAAGGAGGGGCCAGGGGGAGGAAAGGGGGAAAAGGAGAAAAAAAAGGAGAAAGGCGAAGACAAAGGAAGAAAAGAAAAAAAGGAAGGAAAAGAAGGAAAAAAGTGAAGCGGAAGGCAATGAGAGGAGGAACAAAAGGAGAAGAAAAAGGAAAAAGGTAAAAAAAGGAAAGAAGAAAGGGAGAGATAAGGATAACGCTGTGGCGGAGGAAATCGAATGCTGAGCCATGACCCCTTGCTATGCTAACCTGATAAAACTGCTCTGAACGATGTGCTGTCCATGGAGGCTAGATGCACTAAACAGGAGATATTATGAGTTCGCCGACTGAGGGGCAAAATGCCCAGGGGAGAGACTGTTAACCACCCCTACCATGAGGTCTGCTGCTGAACTCACATCCTGCCCCTCTGCCTGCCCCTTTACCCCCCTACCTTCTCTGCCTTACTGGTCTCACCAACCTGCCACCCACAGTACAGTGGGAGCAATCACCAAATACAACCTCTACTGCTCCCCCCTCCCCTCCCCTCCCCCAGTACCCCTCCTCCCAG